CTACTGTACGGGGTAGTAGGCAGAACGATAAAAGGCAATCAAGGGCGAGAATTCGGACGAGATGGCGTCTCTTGACATGCTTGTCCCGAGAGGCCGGAGGAGGTTAACGACGACGGCCGCGATAGAATACGATATGTGATGAAAAGCAGCGTGCAGCCGCCGGGATCTGCGCCCGCCCTGCGAGCGAGTTCCCCTCGTTGGGGAACGAGCTATAGGCGGACAGGCGCGTTGTTGCGCCTAATCATGCTCTCCCAGACGATGGGTGCCGAGGGCTTGCATTCTCCTGTGATATGACCATGTCAGTCCATGTTCCTCCTTGTGGAATTGGGTATAATCGCATCATCCACTACGGGACGGGTGCTGCAACCCCGTCCGCCTCAGCTGCCACGAAAACGTGGCAACACTTGGTCACCACAATTTTGCTGCCCACCACCCCCCATGTCCGTCCCAATCCCAGGTGCTTGGGCGCTGGGTAGACGGTGAAGGGGGTGGGGAGAACGCGCGCTCCTCCATGGCAGCAGATGACAGACGGTCACCCCTGTCTGTCCCTAATTGGTCATGTACGCGGTAGGGACGGGACGGGATGTGCAAAGTGGGCAACACTGTCTAGGCAGGGTGGAAGAAAAAGAAAAGAGAAAGAAAGAAAGAAAAAAAAAACATACCACAGACTTCATTTCCCCTATAGACATGCGGGCGTCAGCTCGTGTTCACTCTGCCCCGTGTGCGAAATTGTGTGTCAAAGAGCGAAGCGAGAAACCAGCTGGCTGGCTTACACCCGGGTGATCTGCATACATGTGGAGGTATGGGAAGGGAAGGGGAGGGAAGCAATATCAGAGACGTACCTGTACTCGCAGTGGGTAACATGAGGAGGACAGCGGCGTTGTGTGCGAGCGTAGAGTGGGCACCAGCGGGACACGATCCAGCGGACGTGGTTGCAACTGAATTCTCTCTGGACATTGGGAAGAGGGGAATGTCAGCCTTTCGGGCGTTCTCGTCGTTGCGAGATTCGAGCTCACGAAACACGCACCTGAGTGTAGTTGCACATGTTTCTCTCCCGAGATGCGTTGCCGAGGGGGCCGGGGCTGTGGACGGTGTTTGGCAGGTCTCCGGGTGTAAGTCGAGGCCAAAGACAGAATAATAGAGTGGCGGCGGCGGCGGCGGCGGCGGGAATCCGTATGTGGTACAGTTGAGCAAGTACGCGGGGAGGCCTGGCGGCAGAGCTCTCAAAAGGTACGGAATACGGTAACGTCTGGACAAAGTATCGAAGCAAATACAAGGCCAAGTAACTAAGGTTATGTTAAGAATGAAGTTGTCGTGAGGCGAGAAAGAGAGAGGATGGCGGGCACGTTCCGTATTTGAAAGAAGAGTCGAGTGTTTGTCGAGCCAAGTGGTGTGGGCTTGTGCAGAACAGAGCGTGGGTGGTGTTGTGTGATGCGGTCGCCGTTCTGTATATAGCTTAAGGCTTGAAGACTGGACTCGTGGACGGGGCTGTTCGTCAGTGGGCTGGGCTCCGAGAACCCAGGCGAAAGGGAAATCCCTGGGCGATGCAAGGTTTATGCTCAGAAGTACCTACCGCTACGTCGAAAGGTATGTGTGAAGTAGACGGCCGGGCGTGGGGGGGGGTATGGTTTGTACTCTATAGAGAGAAGAGGGGATTAGAGACGAGAGGAGAGAGAGAGAGAGAGAGAGACGAAGACTGGGACTGGGTGGACAAGACACTGGAATGATAGACTGACGGTCTGAGTCCCAAGCTGGGCCGCTTCTAGACCAGACTGGCGGGCGAGCGACCAAGCAAGCATCATGGCCCCAGAATTATGATTGCCCCCCCTTGATGCTTGCTTGCCGGACCCAAGAAGATTGAACCCAGTCTGGGTGTCTGGCTACCTATTTGGGCCATTGAGAGGACAGAACAGTAGGATCGGGCAGAAAACAACGTGCGTATGTAGTAAATACTTTGCAGACACACACAGAGAGAGGTATGCGTGGTGTTCGGGCTCTTGCTCATCCTCCAAGTAGTGCGTCTGTCCCTCAGACTTCGGGTCCGAGCGGAGGGGGTGTGCGAAAGTTTCCGTGCCGTCTTTGGGGAGTGAGTGTGCTCCAACTCAACTCTGACCGGGTCGTGTGGAATCTTTCGCCCCCTCTCTCTCTCTCTCTCTCTCTCTCTCTCCCCTTTCAGCTTCGGCAGATCCCCTTAGGCCGGGTCACCCAAGTATCTCTCCATCTCACACAGTGCCGCTGCACAGCACAGGCTCTGATGGCCGATTACGTAGTGTATGTTGATGGGAGTAGTGTACACTACGAAGTACGGGGTGAACTGGCCAGCCCTTGCCCAAATCCCAAAGCATCATCGCATGGCATGACATGGCATGCCACGGCAAGGGTTGTGAGAAGCCTCCTTTCCATGTCTCTGGCGGTCCTCATTTTCCCTAGTCTACTACGGAGTAGGTAGTAAAGTACACCCTCCAGCCGAACAGTACTCCGTAGTCAGTACTCCGTAGTCAGTACTCCGTAGTCAGTACTCCGTAGTCAGTACTCCGTAGTCAGTACTCCGTAGTCAGTACTCCGTAGTCAGTACTCCGTAGTCAGTACTCCGTACTTTGTACGGAACAAGCCAGCCAGGCGACGCAACCCTTGCTCGCCTTCTGCCGCGCCCCGTTTTCTGGTAGACGACCTAGACTATCCGTACATGCACCCAGAACGACCGGGTTTGATTTGCTCTGCCGTAGGTCTCTTGTCGCGCTCCGTTTGCTTTGCCATCATGCCTCCACGTCGCCAACCCATACCTGGCATCACGTCCAGGTTGAACGACGCTCGGTGCAGGCAGCGAGCAATAAGGGGTTGGATCTGATGGCCAATGGGAGGAGTGCTCGCGGCTTCTTGCTCCTTTGCAGTGGTCCGTTCGCCGCGCCGGGCTATTTGGGGGCGAGAGCAGACGAGCCAAACAGACGACTCTGCACTGCACTGAAGGATGCCGTTCACTCCAGACGAAGGACCGTCGCACATCATTCCGATAGTGCGTGGCTTGCCGTAGGGCAGCCTCCTCCCCCCCCATGTTGGCTCTTGACACTAGCACCGCGCCAGGGACCCATCCTTTCTGAACCGACGGGTGTGAACATTGCGAGACAGGCACCGGCTGGGCCCCTCGAGCCGCTTGTCTCTCACGGGCTCCATTTTGACCAGGTCTCAAGATTGAGGGGAGGGGGGGCCACGCAAACCGAATGATAGCAACGCCGCGCTCCCTGCGACGATGATCCCTGGGCGGCCTTGGTGGCAGTACTACTACCATGTACACCAGACTAGGCCAGAAAGAGGTCGTGCAATGGAAAGAGAGTTTTCCCTCAAATGCCAAGCTAACCTGGCTAAGCTGGACGTGGATTCGTTTCTCAGCCGCCATGCCGCTGTTCTGTTCAAGGCTGTTGCATCTCTGTGCCCTGTCCCTCACTTCTTGCTTTTACTTCATCGCCAACCACGAGTCGGCAATGCGACCCTGAGAACACATGACTTTCGAGCTTCCCGCAGGGGGGGGGGGGGGTCGTGGAGGCAGAGATCAAGCATGCCACTAAGGCGCAAAAACCGCCGGGACGACTGCTAACCCCCCATCCAAGGGGCTTGAGCGGTCATTTTCGAGTGACTCTCGCCTTGCCAGTAAACCGAGTAACGAGGCACTCCAGCGAGGGAGGGTAGGAGCTGGCTCCGGAAAGGGGGGCCAAGACTACGCAGTAAAGCATATGAAAAAAAAAAAAGATAAAACAATTAACTAATTATGTATATATATACCTATACGGAGTACTCCGTATACATGAAGGACCAGGGAAAAAATTGCTTGTGAGGGGACAAGGACTTGCACCTGAGCCATCTATGGCACTGTTCACATGGACTGTACCTGTATGTACTGACCGGGGCCCGGATGAAGGACACCAGACCCCAGCAGGGATAGACAAGAGCCGAAGGTCAAGGGGATGGTTGTGCATAGCCCCTGCTCATCGTGCATGCGTGGGTAGAGCGAGCTGACGGTACCGAGCATTGTCGATTCCCCGCGTTCGCGTTCGCGCCGAGGGAGACATCATGTAGATGGTGAAGAAGAAAAGAAAAGAAAAGAAAAGAAAAGCGACAGGCAAGGGTCACCAGTCCACTTGGCGCATCATGTAAAAGTGTCGACCAATGCCCGCCAGCCGCAAGGTGCCGGTGGGACAGGCCCGGACCGAACGGCATTGGCGGCGGACACGCAGTTTTCCAATAAGCAAACGGGCGTATTACTAGCTGCTCTTGACCAAAGTTCGGAGAGATATTATGACGCCCGATTGCCGTTTGCCGGACGTTCGCGGTGCGCCCCTTCTACGATAAAGGTACCGACGGCGTGTTGCGTAACCCGCGCGATGCCGGCGGCATCTTCCGTGGTTAACAAAACTCAGGAGTCATCTCAAACAAGAGTCGTGACCTTTTTTATGCCCAGAATCACCTCGAGAGTACTACCAAGGTGCTAATGTGAGGCGGTGCCTCTTGAGGTCGTCCTGGAGAGTAGCACGCATGCTCCCATGACGGCCCAGGGGAGAGGGTCATGACCATGTCGCTCCCGGTAGCCCAGAGAAGTATGTTCCAGGCCCGACAAACCGCCCGATACAGTGGCTAAGGTTTATAATAAACCCCCGATATTTACAACCTTCTTGGCTGAGAAATCGAGGCGAGTCTATCCGTATTTCACCCAGGCTTGGTTTCGCATCGTCGTATGCGAATGGCGCATACCAGAAGGAACCGGCCCAGGCTCGCCTCGCGCGTCTGCAGCTAGCGTCTCACGGGACCACGGTAAACCAATATTGCGCCTTTGGCAGCTTGATAAGTCTCAAGAGGCCTCTAGAGATAGATACGAGGCACGTGGCCCTGCGTAGATCAACAGGCAGTCCGTTACCGGTCAAGTTAGTCAAGGCGAGAGTCCATTCCAATACCATCACGTGCCACTTGATATCCCCCCCCCCTGTCAATTTGCTCTCAAGGTGCCGGCGCTAGTCTCTGCGTTGGTGTCTCAACGTGTACATGATCTTATTGGACTTGATATTCCCAGGGCCGTGGAGACATTGCCAACCCTCTGCGTAGTAGATAATGTCCAAGACATTGCCCAGGTTGCCATACCGCTTCTTCTGCACATGGCACCATCTTTCGGGGATCTGCGCGCTGTTGACGAGCCACGCTAAAGCCAACCTTGTTTATTACTCCTCCTCCTTTCACGTCTACCAACCGTTGCCGTTCTTTCAACACCAAGTGTTGCCATCTCCACTCGCTGTGGAAACCATACGAAGGCGGTAGGCCTCGCCGTTCGCCATTGTCTCTCATTCTCGGGCATCGATCCAAATCCACTTTGCCTTTCGTTAGTCTTCGCTCTGTTCAGCTGCTGCTCTTTGCCAACTGGCCTTAGTCCCACATAAACATTGATCCCATCGCTGCGTGGAAGTGTCGTCTATGTCAGTGGTCGACAACGGACGGAAACCGTGTATACTATAGTAGGACACCAAATTAGTATAGGAGGGGTTCATCACCGCTTCTCAGCGATGCAGCCCTTTCCGTCAGCCATCCCGGGCGGCTTGCCGTCCGGCCCCATACTGGTAGCATCACGGATGGATGGATGGGTGGCCGTACGCATATATCTCAGCGTCTCTGTCAAGGATGGTACTTGATCATTAGGCTCACGATGGGTCTGTCTCATCGACAACCTTGACAGGAGTTGACTCACCCATGTCCTAAACCCAAGCGAAAAGAGGCTCACATGCGCTTTCTCTTCTCCTCAAAGAGAGGCATCTCTTATGTTCTGGACTGTCGTTGACTCTTCCCCGTGTTGGATTCCGCAAGCTCGCGGTCGGTATCCATGGATTCCCAGTTATAGTGAAGGGTTAAGATCAGACCGACTGTCTGCCACAGTCCCATGTTCCGTCCCATACATACAATGTAGTACGCAAATGACCCGTGCGATGCCTGTCAAGACGCTGCAAGGAGAATTCGTGCCGATCAACAATCCCCTCACCCCCTTTCACGGCCCTGACAATTCCACTTCCTTGTGCCGGAGAAGCCCGACGGCCGGTACTCTATTTTACCCTACGGTCGCCTCTTGTTCGATGTGTGTTGTTTCGTTGCAGGTCGGACGCTCGCGCCATCTCCCGGCCGTTCTGGCCGACAATGCCCTCTCTCCATCTCTCTCTCTCTTTGCTGCAACGCTGCATCTCCGCGGAACCGACTGTGCCGTCGAAGGCCATTGGCTGGTGCATGCGCCTTCATTCATCGTGATCGGCGGGCAGTGCTTCACGTGGGACGTAGGTCTCAGTACAACTTGGGTGCTTTGCCATGGCCAGCAAGTGTACTTTGTTGGCGAGTCTGTTCTTGCGTGCAGAGCATCCTGGCTCCGACCATCACTCGACGATATGACTCTGGCATCATACCGACATTTCCGGATCGAAGCATCACAATCAAGCAGCCTCGATGTCTGTCACCGCGCTCGACCAGGCCCATGCCGTATCCTATGTAACGACATCCAACATCTGCTTTTCCTCGGTCCGAGTTGACTAATGTGATGCATCAGGGCTCCAAAGCTGCCATCGTCCGTCCTCCTTGGCCCTGGACAGTTTAAAGTTTTCTAGGGTCTTGCCAAGAGGGCGTCTTGCAAATCCTCTTGACCATAAAGAGATATCGATTAAAAGCGTCCTGCTGGTTCCACACACCGGTCAAGCTGTATGTTCAGGGGACTCTAGTCTCGCTAAAGGTTGTGAGATTCTCGTAGGGGGCCGCAGGTCGTGATATGGAGCTTCGGCGAGTCAGGCGAACCCTTGCGCTGAAGAACTGTCATCCCAAACGGTGGGTTTCTAGCTGGCTTCTAGCGCAGGGGCCGGGGGGGAGGGGGGGGGGGGTCGAGAGACTCAGTCGACGGCACACTTGTTTTCACATGATTCCCTGCACCCCTGCCCTCCTCGTCGAGTCTGTCCTGAGATCGAATGCAAGAGCAGAGATCTCTGGTCCCAGCGTGAAACGGATTGCTGGCTTCATAAGAAATAGCATACGGGCTATCAATCTAACCTCTGATGGGTGGCTTGGGACACACTTTTACACGTCTGCGCGCACAAGCGAAGTGACCTCACCCACTATGAACGGCGCCCTCCTCCTGTCAATAACTCGTCTCCAGCCAGCGGTGAAGCCCGTGTGGGCACTTACCTATCCATCCAATTATGCGCCATCCGATCTCATTAAGCGCCCGTTGGACAAATGGTCGTGATTGCAATCTGTGCCTGCCAGCCCTGCCATACGCATGAAGCAACGCCGTGGATCATGACCGGCCGTCCCACCTGCTCTTTGAGGTAGGCGGAGTTTTTTTCTCGATAGCGTCAGGGTGATGGAGAGAACGATGATAGAACGACTCATTATTGTCTCCATGTCATGTTCCTCATGGGACCGGAACCGGGTGAGAGTTCCGCCTGCTGCCAGCCTAACCTAGGGCACTATCAAAACCCAACAGCTTGGGTCATTGTGGCACTCATGGCCGGCACCAGCACGATTAATGGCAGGCCACTCAGCCAATCACCTGCGGCCCGGACGGCCGTCTCGGCGTTCCCAATGGCATGGATCCGGAATCTAATTCGTGAGATGGGTTGCGGACGATACTTCCGATACGGGCATCTTTCCCCGGCGGCTTTCCTTCAATGGCACTACAGGGTTCCATCCTGACCCCGTCGCTGTCTGTCACGTAACGTAAAATGGCTAGCCACGACATTGCATTCCACTCCATTCTCTACGAACGGGGGCCACGACGCAACTGCAATGAAGGGTGGCACGCACGGTCTATCGCGGTGCAATGTGCGTCAAAATCTACCTCGAGACCCGCCGGTCTCAGGGACATGGAAGCTGATGTGCGCGCCCCCCCCCCCCCCCCCCCCCGCTCGCTCGGGCGAAACTCTTTCATGATGGCTTTCGTTGGACGCAAGTGGTTGGCGGCATGTGACGGTGCTTCAGTGTGTGAGACGGCAAAGAGGTATTCCCCGAAATTTCCGCCAACTGACTCATTGCCTCGCATGCGGGAAAGCAAGCATAGCTTCTTCTTACTACTGGGCTTCCGTGCCGACCTGTTGGGTTTCCCTTAGAGGATTAATGCCTGTACCACCGCCCACTCCCATTTGCCCACACGGGATATTTGCGGCACCGCCTGAGGATTCATTGCCCCAGGTTTGCCAGACTACTGGAATGATGCGGCTTCTGCCGACAAGCCCCTGAAACCGCCCTCTCGTACCGAGCCAAGAAGGGGGCAGAAGCGGAACGCTCCGAATGAGCACTTTATCCGTTGATTTGTGGTCGATCCTCCACAGGCGTCCAGTGAGATTACCTCTTCGATCATCAAGGTTTAGTGGTGTGATAAATATATTACACCGAGGCCATCCGTCATTGTTCGTGATGTCGGCGGCTGGCTTCATTAAGGAGCGGCAGTGGTTTCGGGAGTTGTTGAATTGACTACCTTGCGGCTTTTACAGGCATGTAGAGTATGATTAATTACCTAACGGCTTTGCAGGGGGCAGCTACTGCCTCGGAGTACAGAGGGAGAGGAGCACACAGATTTGTCCGAGCGAGCGTCGAATATCTTTGTGGTCCGCTGGATACGGCCATCTGGGATGTTGATGCAATCTGTTCCCTGGTTTACCAACGCTCAGTACGACAGTGAGAACCCCCCAACTGACTGCCCTCGACGATTCCTCCACCGTTTTCTGTCAGGCGGTGGAACTGACCCACGCTGCCATTCCCTCGGGTCGCTGACCCATCCGAAGCGGAGACGTCGCCGATGGGTAATCGATTGTGCAAGTGTACCTGTGACCTAGCACCCGCGTGACAAAACAGACGGCTGGTTGCTATGTAGTAGTGGTAAGGAAAAGCGGCCATCTTTTTTTATCACCCACGTGCCTAGGAACCTGACGGCCTCCGGCTTGCTTGACTCCGATCGCGGCGGACTGTTCCTGATGATCTTTCCCTTCGTTTCGGGATGGTCACTCGTGTTGAGGCTATGGAAACCTGAAGGGGTTGAAGGGTGTTGATGCCCAATATCCTCGGCCAGTGGGCGAGAATAGGAAAATCAGGGGACGCTCCAAGATTAGCAGACCCATCCTGGAGGCGGAACTGGTGTTTTCTGTGGCAAACCCAGCAAGGTCTCACGGAAGGTGGGCAACGAAGAGAAGCCCCCGGCCATTAGTGGACACGCCAGCCTGTGTTGTATTGCTCAATCGGGACGTACACTGTCAGAAGAGGGCAGCCTTCGAAACAGCAGATGAGCTATAGAAAACTCCCTTGTATTATCGTATTGAGTATGCCAAATATCCTGTGGGTAATGAGTTGCACAAGCCAAGCGCAGTCATTATTGAAGGTGCGAGTATGTTGACTCAATACGGAGTACTGGCAGATGATCCAGTTGCACGGTCTCTTTGCAAAAAAATTGGTGGCGCTCCCGTTGTCTCGCGCAACGCTTCGAAGGAATAATGCCCCATCATTGTCTATCCAAGCATGTGGCGGTGTTTCAGTTGCCCTCGCGAGCTAGCCACGCTGGCCATGGACTATAAGCCAAGACAGCTTCCTCTGTCAAGGTTATATTCTGATACATTTTGCATAATACGATCGCCCGACGGCGAGGCCTACAACTGTGGAGTGAACGACAAGGAAGACTATATGAGTTGAAGTTGAAGGTACTTCGATTTGGACAGTACTTTGAAGTGCTAGAACGGCTGAGTTAAGTCAACATTCACTGTTCAACAACACCACAAAAACGTCTTACTATGACAGGAGCTATCCGCCAACAAACATTGTTATCATGAACTTTGACCAGTGTCGGATCAGACTTTTCACTCCCTATTTTCTCGGCACTTCAAGAATTTGACTTTGTGTCACTGAAAAACCTGTATTTAGACGTGATATGGCTCGAGGTGCTACTGAATGATGATATCCATCTAAAGCGTGGTGCTTGATAGCAATTGCACAGAGTGATTATGACCCACTACTTACATCTGCATCGACGGATACAATCAAGACCAGTAACCTCCTGTCAATATGCATGTATGATATCGGATAATCATTCAAAGTCAAAGAAAATTCAACGATACATAGAATGGGTAGACAGACATATCGGCTCTGCTTGCGTCCTCGTGGTCTTGACAACAGATTCAGACAGAGGGGGTTGGAGTGTAAATAGAGATAGCAGAGAACTCGATGACGAAAAATGACGTATAGTAAAGAGTGATGAAATCAGTTATGGGTACCATGCGGAGTTATATATAGCTTTGCTTCATAGAGATAGCTAATACTGGGTTTCTGTTGAATATATAGTAGATGCCACAACTAAAACTTAGTATTAGAGATTGACTTATGTTCATTTCTCTGATTCACGACTTGTCAAATATAGCGGCTTAGAATCTTATGGCTTCTAGTTGCGCCACTGGCTCAGATTCCATGACGTCTGACAAATGTTGTCTTCAGGGTCGTATGAGTAGTAGAGGACTAAGAGGGTCTTTTCAAGTACATCAATGTGAACATTAACACCATTCATCTCCCATTCCGATTGGATGATTCGCGAAGGGTTTGGACCGTGGGTTCTCCATCAACTTATCAGTTACTGCCCGAAGTACGTGGATAACGAAGCGAATCACCACCCTGGAATACACGTTATTCGAACCAACGCAAGCCGACTTACACCAGCTCTCACAAATATTGGGCCATTGTGAGAGGCCCTTTCAACTTTGGGGCTCCAATCATGCCCGAAGAACCACTTTCAGGTGCTAATAAGCTACAGAAGCATCATCACATAGCCCTCAGCCAGAGCTCAAAGTTACGACAGCCAGTGCCGGTTAAGCAGTGATGAGTAAGTATTATGTGCAATATATGATGGCTAAATACGAGAAATGCTTATCTTCAAGACGCCCAGCCTTCTGCAGAGCTGGTTTACCCTCCCCATCCCCCTGCACTCCTCCCCTCCGGGTAGGTACATACACCCTGGAGCCTGCTTGACATCTGGTAACACAGATGACTAACAATGAGTACTTTGTGCCCCAGAAGATCAGCGAAGCTCGAGTAACCGACTGGCGTTCCGTCATAAACATTCAAGTGTAGAAACGAAGAGAAATTGAAATCAAAGATAATCATAAGATCGTTTAAGATCCCCAGAAGTCGCACTTGACACAGCCAATCTTGTCGTTCCAGCTGAAGCTTGTGAGATCGCGAAGGCCGGGATACGTGATGTCAAGGGCGGGAGCACCATTCTCGTTCCAGCATCCGTTGGCGTCAAAGTGGCTGGGCGAAAATTGTTAGTTATCCCACACAAACTACCACAACTCCGAGGGAGGCACAGGGCCTTGTACCAAGGTTGTAGAAAAAGGAGTAAGACAGGGGGTGGGGACTACTTACTCCCAAGCCCAGCAGCCGGCACCCCAGTCAGCTCCAATGCTAGAGATGCGGTTGTTCAAGCCCAGGCCCTCAAGGTTGTACCACTGTCCGTTCTGGACGACGTACAGGGAGCAAGGCTCCACGAAGCCGACGTTGTCACAGGCCCAAATGTGGCCAGGGTTCTGACGCTTCAGCTTATCCGTGTCGCTGCGCAGGTCAATAACAGTCTTGTTCGTGGTGTCGATGCCATAGAGGGTGGCGATATCGGCATGGCGGGCAGATAGGCCATCGGTGGGCGCGGCGAGCACGGCCGGAGCGACAGCAGCGAGGATGATGGCGATCTTGGAAACCATGATGCTTACGAGGAGAGAAAGACGTGAGCGAAGATCCGGTGAGGACTTTGTGTTGTCTTGGATGTGTAATGAAAAGATGGGGTGAGATGTTTTGATGCTGAGGATGCAAGAAAAGACAAGGTAACTCGAGCGGCGGCCGCGGTCATATTTATACCAGAGAGTCATACATCAAGTAGGCCGCAAGACGTATCATGAGAATTGCTTGTACTTCACGATCGTGATACATGGCGTTGCCCTATTCGGTCAAGCCTAGACACAATGGCGAATGGTACGCAACGACCGAGTTCAAGCAGCTCAGACAACGGCTGGTGGTTCTTGACAAGGGTCTCAAAGCGGTATCTCGTAACAGAGGCCGACGACTCCACAGGCAGTAGAACTGGAGATGTTCAACTGAGCAGCAGTGGTATTCTGTCAGAAATTACTCAACTTACATTCCAGATCGAGGAAAGGTTAGAGTCAGTCAAAGACCGGGGTCAAGTAGGTTATTATCGTCGTCACTAATGCTGTAAAGGGAAACGTCGTACAATTAGCCAATGATGGTGTTTATAAGTTTAACCTTAATGCTACAGATACTAGCTTGTATTCAGCACGAGCCATTGAGCTAGGAAGGCAACCGTGAACACCCTCCCTTGCTGGTGGATGTATCCGGCCAGCGCTATATTGGCTGTTCTAATTTCTCTCCACTGCCTTTTGCCGAGCAGGAAGCGAGCATTGTGATAGGCCCGGCAGAACGACTTCTCCAGAAGAAGAAAGTCGAGAAAGAAAGCCATCATTGTGGCTGAAGTTCTAGACCATATCATCGTAGGCATCTACTTTGTGTCCTTGGCGATGGGTCAAAAGAGGAGTTGGTTGGCCTGCAACCTGCTAAGTAGATACGCCCCATGCAGCATCGAGTCAAAATTTTGCGCACACCCTTAAGCCAGACTGCTGGGAGTCTGCAATATGGCCTCTGTCCTTGCAACACCATTCCAGTATTAGCCAACTGCTTTGTGACATAGCCATACCAGTACCAGCAAGATGTTCATCTTGGCATTGTCCAAGATGAACACGCACTATCCCTTCCTTTGCTCTTAGTAAGAACCATCGTGCAGATATTCTCCTTTCCCCATTGAACCTGTCAAGCCCTAGGGGTTTTCTATTGACGCCCGCTCTTGGGAGGTTCATATGTGGTTGCCTAATAAAACTGGACCACGCGCTGACAAGACTTCCTATTCGTGGGTAGATAGTAAAAATAGCCAGTTGCTTGACCCTTAAATATAATGTCTTGCATGTTAAGGGTCTAGCTTGATTCTACCTATCGGAATTGATAAGCAAATTAAGCCGTGCCAATGCGCAGTAGCTTCCGATCAATACAGTAAAACGATGAATACCGTGACGGGGTTGATTGCAGCCTTGATCATCTGTTTCCCGCTCATCTTATCCAAAATGATAGTGTATCCAAGCCTTTTATCTATTGAGTGATTGGCAACGATTTAGGGCTCTTGGGGGGTTAAGGAGCGTGTCATCTCAGGTCTGTATGTCGGCCAGGAGCATCAAAGCGAGCAGGCCCAAGGTCACCGTTTGCAACTCCTTCCACGACAAAGATCGCACGCCACGATCCCGCGGAAATGAGAGAGCCCAAACCTTCAGTTTTAGAATTGCAGAGTCAAAAGACCGCCGAAAGCACCGGCAAGAGGTGCCATGGCAATGTAGAGAGAGAGAGAGAGAGATTCGGAAGATGAGGTCAGAATGTCTGTAGAAGCGAGAAAGATAGGAGGACAAGCCCAACATGATATCCGATTCTGCAATAACAAGGAGAACCAGACATGCTGCGAGTTGCGACTAATTGTTGATGCAGGCGCTCGCGACGGTCTTGACGTCTGGTGGTATATTTATGCGAAGGGAAGTGGCCGAGAAGATAGACAAGTAACAGGGCCAGTAATCTTGCAAATAATATTGCAAGGAATTTCGAAAATGATGTAAGATACGTAGAAAATAGCGGTTACCGAATCAAAGTCGTACCCACCGGGACAAGATCCTTTCTGAGTCTTTCGGGACGAGCTTTGCCAATGTTTGACCGACCAATAAAACAAATAAGAACATCAGAACCACCAGTGGAGTAATGCAGAGGTCGGATTTGAGACGGATCATACTCTCTATGTTGCGATCATCTAGGAAGATAGAAGAGTATTGATCGACCGCAACGATTTCCTTGTTTTATTTTGTCACATGGTGCATCCTGTCAGGCATTCGGATTCTTCCCCCGGAAACCAAAGTCCGTGAATAGAACCGAGGAATAGGAGCGCGTCTTTGAGGATAGGAAGAGCAATCATGGAACGCGGAAAAGTGACCCCGAGGTCAGCAGGAAATGGAAATGCATGCCGACTCAAAGAGTCGGGGGCACGAATTACTAACAGTTCTTGGCCTTTTAGCTCACCCTAGAGGAAGATGACCACGAAATAGTTAGCGGCCCTCGGTGCTACGTTTGGCGAAACTTGTTATTGATATTCGCTCGCTACCTCGGGGACAAGACAGGCTCAACCGGACATCTGAAGCGGACTTATTCAAGACGGGCAGCAGGAAATATTGCATGGCCGTGATCAGCTTGAAAGGGGTGTTTAGATTCCAGGCCAGTGAGAAGTGGATCTGCACGACGCAGCCAAGGTAACACTAAACATGGCAGTTCCATGCTGCCGCCGCAGTCATCCCGAAGGTAGGCGATTTTGCTACGAACACTACGACATAGTGTCATGCGAGTAATAGCAATACAGTCAACCAAGCTTAAAAGGCTTTGACACAATGCCCAGCGTGCCCTATCACGCCATTATGTATGATATCAGTAAGTATCCCGCTTCTTTTCCTGCAATGAATTTGGGGAACTTTTGGCCAGGCATATCTTTCTTTCCCATCGCTCTCTTACCAGCGTAATCGAGACTACTATATCGTCGCCAGACCACCTGCTTCCACAAGTGAGAGTGTACCATCACCGTTGTTCAAATGTGCTTAGAATTAATGTTCTTGCATCTTCGGTAGCACTAAGCTTCACTCCAATACACCAGGCAACGTTTTGACTGTGTTGCCTCTCCACTATAAGCGTGTGCAGAAGTATTGTATAGTTCCTTGGTGCTTACTATTCCTTTAGACAAGAATTATTCATTACTGTTATCGTCTTTTTCTGGTCCTGAGACTGCTTGGAACGAACACGCCAGTTTGACCATGACTTGGCCGATCTCTCTGGGAAAGGAAGGTTATGCGTCTTGACTAAATCCCTCACCAACTGCCCCTACATACTCTTTTTACATGGCTTTTAGCCTAGCTTATTTCATCGACACCCGGGTGAAAGTGGTTGTTGAACTTGCTTAATTCTAGCACATCGCACTTTTGTAACCCCACTGATATTGGCTTGGCGCTTAACAATCGTACCATAGGCATCCAAAATGTTAATTGCAAGGCAATCCTGAATTTGCATATAACTGAAGCCGGAGATGGCTATAAGTGGCCATATTTAGAAAATGTGTCTCCAATTACGTTCTCCTTCCCCAACCTGAGGTGGACTCAATAAATTACAGTTCCTCGCATATTCCATCAAACGATCGAAAGGCTGGGTTTATAATACTACGGTACAAAGACTAATGCGAGTATTGGGTATGGTGTCAGAGTGCTGTCTTCTGGCGGCTTGGTGAGAGAGTAGTTCGGCCGTCGCGCTTCTACGACATTCGATTGCGACACAGGCGCGAGAGGTTGTAAGAAAGCCATGTCGGGGGTTTTGAGCCAATGGTATCTGTTGCCGCCGGAAACACCGCCAGACTGCTTCAGCGCCCTAGCCTGGATCGAATGCTTCCAGGAACGGAGATTCCGTGGAACCCCGAAACGCCGTCGGACACGCCACTTTCGGTGCCGGTACCCGAGGACGCGTGTTTTCTTACCTTGAAGCCGATGTGCCAGAGGATTGCCCACAAGTTCACCTTTTGCCCTTGTCATCTGAACCGCATCTTGTTTGGCGGGCCCTCAGCCCTACGAAAGCTTGTCCAGATGGGGGGGGGGGGGGGGGGGGTGTTGATTTAGCCACTCTCATACGAGACGAACCTGTTTTTTACTCAACTGCTTCCACTAACTATTACAAATCAAGCCGAGCGCGCGCGCGCGGTAATAACATCTCAGACTGCCTACGGGCTCAGCGCCACGCAGCAAACCAGGCGGCATGGATGGCGGCTCTTACTCATCACCCGCGCGTATCGGTTCACGATTACTCACATTGGACTATATAAGTGCAGCCGAGTCCTAGGAACCGGTAAGGCTTTGCAATCATCTCATCCTCAAGCTGAAACATAAACGACCGGTCTCACTCTCATCTCCAGTCCCTCTCAGCTGCTCACGAAAGCAGCTTCACTCAAAATGTACGCGACCTTGGTCAACTCCTGGGACTCTTCCCCAACCTACACCACCACCGACGACCTCCCGCCCCCTTCTCCCACCCAGATCCGTCTGCGCGTCCTCGCAGCCGGCGTCCACCGCCTCGTCTTGTCCCGCGCCGCGGGCAGGCATTACACCTCCACAACCCTGCCTCACCTTCCCGGCGCCGACGGCGTGGGCGAAGACCCGGCCACAGGCCAGCGCTACTACTTCACCGCGCTCATGACCGGCTCCTTTGCAGAGTTCGTCAACGTCGAGCGCAGCCTCGTCGCACCGCTGCCGGAGACCGCCGACCCCGTCGCGGTCGCTGCGTTCACGAACCCCGCCATGAGCAGCTGGATGGCGTTCGCCGCGCGGACGGGGTCCCAGAAGCCCGGTTTCTCGGTCGCTATTCTGGGCGTCACGAGCGCGAGTGGACGAGTCGCGGTGGATGTTGCCCACGCAAAGGGCGCGGGACGCATAGTGGGGATCGCGAGAAACGCCGCAGCGATGGCGGAGATGGCACTCGACGAGAGCATCGTCCTCGCGGGCAGCGAAACGGATTGGTCGAAGCTGGGCGAGGTGGACGTCGTGCTGGATTACGTCTACGGGCCTTCTGCCGTCGATCTACTCAAGGCGTTGCCCAAGTCTGAGAAGGAGGTACAGTTTGTTCACATCGGCTCCGTGTCCGGCGACGGAGATGTCAGTCTCCCCGGGGCCATCTTGAGAGGAAAGAGAGTTGCGATTCGTGGTGCTGGCCCAGGGAGCTGGACCATGAAAGAGTATGCAAAGGAGCTCGAGGGGATGGTGGGTGTGAGTTCGGGATTGAAGGCGAACGATGCCATCACGTTTGGGTTCAAAGATGTTGAGAAAGGATGGAAGGAAGCTGGAGGGAAGAAGAGAGTGGTTTTTGTCAGTGAAGATATGTTGAGCTCCTAAGTGAACTTGGCAAGCGAGACAGGGTTTTCATTTTTGAGTTGGGTAATATGGTTTCATCAGCTTGATATTTCACCATGGTCAGTTTCAAACATCATTGAAGTAATACCACATAAACCACGCCCATGGATTGTCATGCTGCTTTGCTTGGCCCATCAGGTGGGCCTACAAGACGCATCATGAGTTCCACAGTTCATATCTTGTCTATTGAGACTGACTATTGGCCTGCTTCCGTCCTCTCAGCCAACTACCCTGTAGTAGTATCACACTATCCACGCAAAACATTAGCAACTTTATACTCCCATTCCTTCCGTGTCAAAGAAACTCACAGGTAAACCACGGTGCACCAATGGTCTCCGCGACAGTCTGCGCGACAAGCTTCTGGATCTGCACACCCGGGTGGTAGTCGTTGAACCACAAACAGCTGACGCCGTTCTCGTTGTAACAGGTAGCGTCCGGTGCGCCGTAAGCTGTAGGATTGTTGATGGCTTCGTCAAAAGCGGGCGCGGTGTCGACGACCCACGACGTGACCCCCGCGTTCTCGGCCTCGAAAGCGGCAAGGTTGCTGATGATGAGCTCGTTGTATTGCTTGATGGCGGCCGACAGTTGTCCGCCGGCGTCGGCGCCATTGGCGATCATGAGAGGGGTCTTTTGGGTTGCTAAGCACCTGCATCAGCATGTACACTCCAAGACACGTACTAGTTGCCTCGCGGGGTGTAGGGGGTTAGCTCACGGGGCACGCTGAGGAGAACAAACTTCCTCACGCCGGCATTATACAGGATTTGCAACTGGTCAAAGTACCTGCCGAGGACCTGCACGAGCAGCGCTTCACGGTTCGACCCCCACGCTGCGTTCCCAACGTCGTTAACGCCCATCCACACACCCACAAGGGTGTTCTCCGCTGTCCAGGGCGCCCAAGCCGGCTTCGACGCCAGGCTCCGCGAGAACTCGGAGACCTGGTCGATGAAGCTAAGCACGGTGGGTGCGTAGGGTGTGATAAGGCTCGCGTCAGTGGTGGCGCCTCCGTAGGCGAGGTTGTATGAGTATGTCAGCGAGGCGTTGTATTGCACCAACAGAAAGCCGACCCAGTTGAGTCCGCCGCTCGTGGTCCAACCGGGGAGGTTCGGGTTGCCGAGCGGGTTTTGGGCGCTGGGCTTGGTGGAGTTAATGTTGAAGCCCGTTTGGGAGTAAGAGTCTCCGCTGTGACCTGTGTTAGCAATGTGCTTGGTGAGATTTCACCGCGAGACAAGGTCGACTTACAATGTGATGAAGTACTTCGGCCCAGACGGGCTTGGCGTCTGGGTCGAGGTCGATGTCGGGCGCACCGTCACGGTCGTCGTCGTTGTCGTCGTCAAAGCGCGGCTTGTAGTTGAGACCGGCACACTGGTAACTGTGGTAGAGGACGCCCCCGGTGCGGTTCCCGGAAGACATTGGGCTGGGTATACTCCGTACTTAGCTTAATAGACTCTCAAACCCTGTCATGGGTCCAGGGAGCAACTCACAATACCAAGGGTTCTGAGGAGAACAGTACGATCCGCCAGCGCAATCGGTCGAGCCACCCCATCCGTTACCACCACATTGTCCCCATACAGGAACCTGCGCGTCGGCCATCAAAGCCAAGGAGGCAGTGAGAAGCACGGAAGCCGTGATACGAGCCATTGTTGATGGTAGCTCGAGGTCGAAACAGGAGGCCTACTCGGGAAATCCGAGGAAGAAGATGTGTTATCAAGAGTAACCAGCTTTATATGCGCTCGCCTAACCTACAGCCTCTCTGGGATATTGCGTGCAACAAGCTATCATGCAATGCTGCATGGCAACGAGAACTCCGTCAGCGGGCCCAGCCCGAAGTGGGAAGCTGTCCGAACGGCCGTCCCCGAAAACCGGCACTAGTTTCTACGCCTCGAGGGAATGCCGCCCTGCGGTTGGCGGGAAAAGCAGCATCGGTAGCGACTGAGGAGGGCCTATGCGGGGATGTTCATGCCCAGAGTTCTAATCCTATCGCGGGAAATCGCTGCGAGCACGAAGTCTCAAGTCCTTGGTTCGCTTCAGTCAACGTTAAAAATACATGTAGTGAGAAAGAGGAGAACTCCAGATCAAGGCGATCGATCGATAGTTCGGCTGGAAGAGTCACACAAAGTGCTGGTACGATGCAGGGACACGGAGGGAGGCGTCCACCACCCCGAAGAGGCAACGGCTTGGCTCTACATCCGTTCCAGCCGCCGGGTCAACGGAATCATCAGAGCCCGGAGAAACTAGGTTTGGGCTGATCTTTTGGAGGTCGCTGTAAGGTTGTCGTACACCAAGGTCTGTTTCTCTTGTTCCTTATATCGTTGATTGAACCGTTTCGGTAAGTTCGACTGCGAATGCCAATCTGGAGAAATAAGGACAGCACAAACATTCTGGGGAGTATATCATGTGTGGTGTAACAGGCCTGTTTTACAGGAACCGGTGACTAGAAAACACAAAGAAACCACTCCTGTAGAGACTGATATCAGTGCAACCGAAACAACACCCGCGGCGAGTATAACAGACATCCTTATCCCAAAACGACAACAGTTGAGCCGCCAAGAAGAAAAAGCGACGCGATCCCGTTTTCCTTGCCAGATTTTCCTTACCACGAGCTCAAAACCATTGTATACAGAGCCATAAGCATGCAAGCAATACAGAGGACGGCCGACATCCCAGATAGTAATACCGAATGGATCATCATTTTCCCATCCCAATCTCTGTCACTTTCCCTATTCCCGTCGAGTCATGTCTGCGCATGACGACGTTTCGTTTCTTTGATTCCCAAGGCAGCTTATGCCTTGTTCATGTCGCCTACATAGCCCTCAGAGACCTCGTGGCATACTGTTATAGAAAGTCAGCTTCTGTTCAGAAAAGGAGGTTCGTCCGCTGGACAAAGGGGGGAGACTCACACTTTGCAACGCTCGCGCTGCCGAGGATCTTCATCACAGACACGTCCCTCTCCAGGACCTTCCAGAACCAACCCCTCACCTCCACGGCGACAAGCGAGTCCATTCCCAGCTCGCTGACGCTGTGCTCGCCCCGGACGCTCCCTGCGCCTTGCCCGAGGACGACCTCAAGGTACCGCGCGAAGCCCTCGGTCAGGACCCGCGCGACCTCGTCGACGCCGCCGCCTGCGACGCCCTTGATCTGCTCCCTGAGGCTCTGCTTGCCCTCGCCCTCGCCCCCGTCGGTCTCTTCGGTGTCGGGCGTGGTGAAGTGGGAGAAGCGCGGGTCCCTTTGCCAGTGGAGCGGGTCCTCGAGGCCGGCGCTGAACCGGCTCAGTCCCGTGGTGATGTCGTAGACCTGCCCGTCCAGCGGGCGGCCCGCGACGATGGCCTCGAGGAACATATGGTGGATGTCGCGCTCCGAGATGGGCGGGTACCCGTCCTTTTCGAGGAAGGCGTAGATGTCGGTGCGCTCGCGGTGGAGCAGGCCCAGGCCGTAGATGACGCCGATGTTGAGGACCGACCCGGCGAGGCCGCGGAGGCGACGGTTGGCGGCGAGCCCGTTCATGTACATGTTGGCCGCCGCGTAGTTGGACTGCCCGCCGTGGCCGCCGGGCCCCGCAAAGGACGACGTCATGATGAAGAACTCCATGTCGGGCTCGCAGAACATCTCGTCGAGGTTGCTGGACCCGACCGTCTTGGGGCGCATGACCCGGTCCCAGGTCTCGACGTCCATCTGGGCGAAGACGCGGTCGTCGAGGACCATGGCCCCGTTGATGACGCCCGCGACAGGGGGCATCTCCTGCGCGAGGCGCTGTTTGAAGGCACGCACGCTCTCGACGCTCGTGACGTCGAGCCGCTCCATGCGCACCTCGCAGCCCTTGGCGGCGAGGTCATCGATCCACTTCGGCTCCATGTTGGGGTTGCGGCTCGCGAGCACCAGGTGGCGCGCCCCGTGCTCGAAGAAGAGGTTGCACAGGCTCTGGCCCATGTCACGCGTCAGGCCGACGAGGACGTACGTCTTGTACGGACGGAGCATCTGGGTGCCAAAGAGGGGCTTGGCGATGCGCTGCACGCTGCGCTCGGCACGCCAGTCGAGTATCTGGAAAGGTTTGCTGCTGCCGGTGCAGTCGAGCAGCTGCGGCACGGAAATCGTCTCGAAGTCCGGCTTGCCGGACTGGCCCTTGGCGCTCCTAACGTTTACTATGGCCTTGCTGATGGCGTCCTCCCAGAGATCCTCGATATCCATGGAGTCGCCAAGAGCGACAACGTGCTCCGAGGTGAGGAGGGAGAAGCGGGAGTGGTACTCGCAGTTCTCAGGGAGACAGTCTAGGACTTTCTCGGACAGCTCGCTGCCCTCCGGTAGGAAGTCGATGACGGACGCGCCATGAGCGGGGAAGAGTCCCTCGAGCTCGCGGTTGGTCGCGAATGGGTGGATGTAGCGCTGGCCGAAACCCTTGCCCTTTCCGGGGTCGGTGGTGCATGCAATGACATTGGAACCCCTTGCCTCGAAGACCTCCCTCATGCACTCCAGGAGCGTGGCGTCGGGCTCGAGTAGAAGAACATTCTGCTCCATCATGTCCTCGGCTAGAGACAGGGCAACGATGTATCTCATGACCAGTCCGAGGAGGAGCTTGGGGTCAATGTTGCTGCTGCTGAGCTGATAGACGCACGAGTTGGGTACCGTGACGTAGGACGAGTTGGACTTGGTCACGGCAAGGCAGAGCTCGCCGGATGTGACCTCGTTGCCGATGCAGATATGAGAAGCGTACTTGAGGCCAAAGTTGATGACCTCGACGGAGCTGTACTTGACTTGAATGACGCTCTGATCGGGAATAGCGATGCCCTCGTCAATGTCCGTTTCCTCGACGATGTTGGCGGTGTAGACGGCCGATCCATCCCCGGACTGGGAAGAAACGACCTCGACACACTGTTGCAGAGTGTTGACATCGTCGGCCACAAGGCGCCGAGGGCAGTTGACGCGGTCGTTGCCCTCCTTCCAAGAGACGACACGCGGGATCAGTCGGCGGCCGTGCTCCATAAAGATCTCATGCTCGTGAGTCCATAGGACCTCGCCGTCCTTGGCGGCGGTGCGGAGAGGCTTCATGCTGAGGCGGAGGAAGGACTCGGTGACGAATCCGCTCGATTCTCGGCGGGAGTCGAGGTCGAGCATCTGCAGCTTCAAGCTGGGGATCTCGGCGAGGATGGAGCGAGCGAAACCGAACGTGGCCGCATGTTCCGGGTTCCCGGCGCGGGAGTTCATGGTGACCCAGAGGATCACCTTCTCGGGCGCCATCATGGCGCGGAAAAGATCGAGGCGCTCGGGGGTCATGTTGGTCATCATCGGCTCATCCAGATCCGCCAAGAAGATGACGGAGCTGATCTCGTTGAATACAGCCGGCTGGAGAGAGTCCAAGTCGGCAATGATGTCGATGCTGTTGCACAGAGGCGACAGCTTCTCGTGCACCTCCGCAGACAGCTCTGCCGTGTTCTCCGCCGCCCCGATGATGACGGTATGCCCCGGTACTTTGGGGACAGAGCCAGACAGCGGGCTCAGGGCTGCCAGCTTGAGGTCCGACTCGGCCTGCCTGACGACGAGGGAGAAGTCCGGGGCGAAAAATTGCTCGGCGTTCTTGGAAGTGCGGACGAACCCGCACTCATCCAGGACATCAGGCCACTCCGGAGGGGTGAGAGGCTCTTCGAATTGCTTCCTGACCCCGAATGCGCGGCGGAGCCTGTCACGAAGAGGACTCATTGACTCGTGGATCAGGATGAGGAAGCCGCCGGGCTTCATGAGGGCCTGCACCCGCTTGAGCTTGTTGCGCTGCTCGGCGCCCTTGATCACGGAGGTCGTCAAGACGACCAAGTCGAAAGGCTGGAGGGACGAGTCCCCGTCCATGTCGAGTATGCCGGTGTGCTCGGTGTCGATTTTCTTCTTGGTCGCCCCGGACGCGATCCTGGCGAGCAAGTCCTTCTCGGTCTCGGTACCGACGGTGTACGAGACGAACGAGCCCTTGAAGCCGTCGACCACATGCTGGGTAAGGGCGGTTTCGGGGTCTGTGAGTCCAAGAACACGCATGCGAGGGTACCGGTGGGCAAGCTGGGATACCACACGGCTGACGTGGGATCTGAACCGGTGCAACTGCTTGGCCTCCTGGATGATGGTCGAAAGCATTGCGGGGAGGACGTCAGGGATGTTCTCACCCAGCAACCGGATAAAACTCAGGGCGTGCTGGAAAGGCGACTGGCTAATGTAGGCATCGAGGGACTCGGGCGTGTCCTGGGGCCAAGGGCTGGTGCTCGCCTCACTTAGACCGGTGACGGTCTTAGTTGGAGACGACGGCATGGCAGGAGGGGTAAAGAAGGTAGGAGACGCCGAGAGGTCTTTGATGGAATCGTCGTGGACGTAGAAGCACGCGACTCTCTCGCATGCCTCGAGAAGGATACGCTCGGTAGCAACGTCCTCCTGGCCGAGGTCCGCGGTGACAATCTCGTGCTCCGGGTCGAGGTCCATAACAGTCGTCAGGTAGAGCTCCTTGTCGTCTTCGGGCTTGGAGTTGGCAAAAGAGGCAACCATGAGGCCCTCGACCTGTATTTCCATCTCGCCGTTGGGGTTGTAGATGCTCATGTCTCCGACTACCTTGGTGGTCGCTGTCTTGGTGCGGGGGATCTCCTGGGTGACGACCGAGTCCACGACCAGAGACGCGCTGTCGCCGGGGTTGCCATCGCAGATGGCGAGGTTGAAACGGATCTTCTCGATGCTCCTGGGTAGGAAAGACGTCCAGAGATACTTGTCACCCGGCGAGGCCACAGCCGCGAACACGGAGTGGAAGCAGGTATCCAAAGTCGCGGGGCTAACGCCGAGGCCGGTGGTATCGGACTCGTGGAACTTCTTGAGGGTGGCGGAGCAGAAGTTGTATCTGCGGTCGATGGTCTCCAGAGCGCGGAAGGGGCCGGTGTAGTCCAGGCCGATACCCGACATCATCCGATAAAAGGCGTCGGTGTCGGCCGGCAGGGTCTCCGCCATGGCCGGATCGCGCGTGGGAAGGGCATCCGCGGAGGGCTCACCGAGGTAGATGCGCAGGTTGCCGGTAAAGTTCTTCTGCATGGGCGTGACGCCGTCAGCGTAGCATGAGGTGATGGTAAAGGCGCCCTCGATGATCTTGCCGGCCATGCGTCCCTTGGTCGAGGGGGGCTGGATGCTCAACGAGACCATCATCTCGACGCCGTACGTGTTTGCCTCGAGGGAGATGCCGCTCATGAACTCAAGGTCCGTGAGCTCAACGACCGAAGCCTGGCGCCCGCTCAACACAGCCTTGGCGGCGTCCAGAGCGAGAACGCAGTAGGCGGAGGCGGGGAGCAGTGCCTGGCCCTGGAACTTGTGGTGCTGGATCCAAGGCACAGTCTCGAGCTTCAGGATGTTGCGCCACCTGAGCTCGAACTCGGTGTCGTCACGGGTGCGGACACCTAGGAGCTCGTGCGGGCCCTGCTCGCGGTGTTGGTACTGGTGCGCAACGCGCGACTCGCGGAAGTACATCTGGCTATGGTCCCACGGATAGGATGGCAACTCTATTCTCGATGACAGGAGGTCGGGCTGCGTGGAGTTTAGTACGAGGGGCCTCCAGTCGATGGCGTTGGTACCAAAGTATTTCCAGGTAAACCCAAGAAACTCGGCAAAGGCATGTCTGTCGTCCTTCTTGCGGTCAAGAAGACCAGAGTACGACATAGCGCCACCGGTGACGGCCTTGACCGTCTGCTGCACGGGACCTTTCAGAGCGGGATGGGGGCCAACCTCTATTGCGCTGTCAAAGGGGCCCTGGGAGGCAAGGGCAAGACCAACAGCCTCATGGAAAGAGACGGCCTTGACCATGTTGTCCTTCCAGTAGCTCCCCTTGAGTTCCTTGATGCTCGGCTCAGTGCCGTCGGCGTAGACACTGGAGACCCAGACCGTCGAGTTCCGTTGTCTAGGCTCAATGCCACAGCCAGCCAAGTCCGCCATGTACTGGGCAGCCGGCTTCTCCATGTGGGCGGAGTGATAAGCAGTGTCGACGACCAGGAGACGGGCGAACTTATTCTCCGCAGCCAGCTCGGCTTGGAGTGCCTTCACCGCATCCGCATCTCCCGACAGGGTGACGCTAGAGGGGGCATTGCTGGCAGCTACCCAGATACGGCCCTTGATGTCATCTCGCGCACAGAGGGCCGACGCTTCGGCCCGGGTCATGCCCACGGCCATCATCATGCCCTTCTCGCCGTTCTTCCCGCCGGCGAGGTGGGCGGACAAGCCCCTGTAGTAAGAGATGAGCATGGCATCGCGCGCACTGAGCACACCTGCGGCATACGCCGCCGCAATCTCGCCGGAGGAGTGGCCAACGACAGCATGGAACGAGACCCCAATGCTGGAAAGGAGATCAATGAGGGCAATCTGGACCGCGGTGCAGAGAGGCTGGGATAGAGCGGCGATGTTGATGCGAGTGGCATCCTCCTGTCGGACGAGCTCGTCAACAAGCGACCACGCGGGAGGGTTGGGGCACCTCTCGAGAACTTCGTTGAGGCTCTCGACCGTTTTGCGGTATACAATGCTTGAATAAAAGAGCTTTCGGCCCATGCCCGACCACTGAGCTCCCTGGCCCGTGAATATGCCAAGGATCTTGACCTTGCCGCCGTCCAGCTTGGCGCGGACACCGAGCTCCGGGTTGGACGACGACCCAGCTTTGGCGAGAAGGTCGTCAAGGCCGGCGATGAGCCCGTCGCGGGATTCGGCGCTGACGGCGCTGCGGTATGTCAGCGCCGAACGATGCGCGTAGCAGTTCCAGGCGATTTCATCAGCCGACTTGTCAGTCGACAACACGAAGTCGCGGAGGGACCGGACCACTGAGACGAGAGACTTCTGCGACTTGGCCGAGAGTACCAGGGGAAGCCCGACACTGGGCGCGTCGGGGTTGTATGCCGGTGCGGCCGAGACGATCGGGATCTCCAAGCCGGGTGCAAAGCGCTTCGCGACTTTGTCGTGGATACTCGGCTCGTACCGTTCGATGATGGCGTGCGAGTTGGTGCCACCGAACCCGAACGAGTTGACACTGCCACGAAGGGGCTGGCCAGCCGGGGCCTTGGGCCATGGGACGACATCGACAGGGATGCGAAGGTGACCGTAGAACGGCCGCACGCTAGGGTTGAGTGTCTCCAGGTGCAGGTTGGGGGGGATTGAGTTGTTGATCATGGAATGGACCACCTTCAGCAACCCAGCCAAGCCCGCGGCACCCTCTGTGTGGCCGATGACGGTCTTGATAGATCCTACGACAAGCTTTTGATCTTCGCTCTCGGCAACAGTCGATGCCTTGTCGCCGAAAAAGGCCGTGGAGATGGCCTGTGCCTCTCTGGGGTCTCCCGCCTGGGTCCCGGTTCCATGCGCCTCGAAGTATTGGCATCGATCAGCTGGGGAGTGAGGGTCTAGACCGGACCGGCGATACGTGTCCCTGATCAGCTCCGCCTGCGCAATGGGGCTGGGCATGGTTATGCCCTGCGTGCGCCCGTCCGAGTTGACGCCCGTCTCTCTGATGATGCTGATGACCGAGTCGCCGTCCTTCAGTGCTTGTGACAGGGGCTTGACAAAGAGCGCCGCGAACCCCTCGCCGCGGGCGTACCCGTCAGCGCTGACATCCCACATCCTCGACTTTCCGGTAGGGCTGAGCATGTGCAGACTGGCCTCGCTGATGAACTGTTCGGGGGTGATCATCATGTTTGCGCCGGCCACGCAGGCCATCTCGCATTCGCCGGATCGAAGACTCAGCACCGCCTGGTGTAGAGCTACCAGACTGGATGAGCATGCTGTATCTACGGTCATTGAAGGGCCGCGGAAGTTGAAAAAGTAAGATATTCTGTTGGAGAGAATAGCTCTTGAGTTGCCCGTGGCAAAGTATTGGTTCGAGGTAATGTCGTCACGTTGGCATAACGTATCGTAGTCTGCAGTCATGAGGCCGGCAAACACGGCGACCTTGCGCCCGGCGTACCTCTCAAGGTTGTATCCAGCTGATTCAAGAGCTTCGTAGACGACCTCGAGGATAATGCGTTGTTGAGGATCGATGGCCTCGGCCTCCTTGGGGGTGATGCTGAAAAACCCAGCATCCCACACACGGTGGTCCTGCTCAAGAAAGTAGCCTTTAGTGGTATTTGTTGCCCCATGATATTCGCCGTCTGGGTGATAGAAACCTTGGGCGTTGAACCGGTTCTTCGGGACTTCTTGTGTAAGGTCTCTGGGGTTGATGAGGAGTTCCCAGAGCTTTGATGGAGAGTTGACCTGACCCGCGAACCGACACCCCGTGCCGACAATGGCAATGGGCTCGGACTGGGGACTCTTGTAGGTAGACATTGCTGTCTGGGGTATTTCTAAATCGATTATGAATTATTGGGATGGAGACGTTGGGTAAATAATGCTTCAAACTCGGGTGTAAGTCCAACACGTTGGCAGGAAAGGTCCAATATGTGTATGGGGGTAGTCCGAGAATAATAAGAATAGGGAAGAATGAGAGGAACTGTAATGATCAGAGTAGAGAATAACATTCCTGACAGGGCGATTACAAGGGATATATAGACAAACACCTGCGCAGCGGCAGCAGCAGTGATATCAGCATCGCGATGCGCTCTCCCTGCCAGACAACGTCGATACATGACGACGCCTCGGCCCCACCCCTGCTAGAAAAATAAAATAAAAGAGAGCAAGGGAGAAAGCCCACTTGGTCTGCATAGACCATGTTTCCCACGGCACTGGGGTGAGCCGATGGCGAAGGGGAGAGGCGTGTGGAAGCGTTCGATGGACGTTCGGCGGTGTTCATGATGAATATGGGGAAAAGGGGGTGGGTTCGGACTTCCGTTGCCGAAAAATGTCTTAAGACGGCCATCGGGGTTCGGCGTTGGCTCACCGCCAGCAACCGCAGCGTCCGACTATTTACCTCGCCGTCACAAGCTCAAATCGGGAGGGGGGCGTGACCGGCTGCCGGGAGGCTTGACAAGTTGCGCCTCTTCTTCAACGATGGACGACGTGCCATCTGTCTCGGCGCTGGGAGCAACTGGAGGCAGTGAACGACCAACGACGAAAACGGAGCTGGGCTACCAGAATACGGACGAGCGATCCGTTCCGCAGCCTTCGCACAAGGGCAATTGAGGAACGTCCACATTTACCGCGTGGAGAATATGGGGGTACTTGCACATGAACGACGTTTTCTTTGTCTCGCGCGGGATGGTTTGAGGCTGCTTCGGCCCCTCTTCTCTAAACTCAACTCCATCTGACTCCAGCACACCATGACACGACTCCTCCATCCGCTCGCTTGCCGCCAAGTATATCAAGAGAAATCACCAAGATCAACCCACGCCATGCAACAGTGATACGACCTAATTCGTCCTCATCCGTCGAGAAAAGACTCCATCGCCTTGCGTAGCTCCTTTAGCTCCTTGCCTAGACTTTCTTCTTGCCTCTTCAGGGCCTGGAATGAGACATCGACTACACCAGAGAACATGGAGGTGGTGTCAGATGCCCTGCCTACTGATGAACTATCCGATCGCAGAGCCGGGTCTAGTGATGTGGTCGCTCGCCGCATCTGTAGAAGGAACTCCTCGGCCAACTGGATTGTAAGAGACATCTGCAGCGATGGCGTCGAATCAACTGCGAATGAGCCCACTGTGACGCCAGGGAGCTTCCAGGACTGAAACAGCTTGCCCGACTCTAGCTGCGCTAGCTCCGAGTGGATACAGCTAAAGACCTTCTGGTACATGTCCAGAAGCCGAACATAGGTCGAGAGAACGAAGAGACAGGTCGCCGGATCCGACAAGGAGTTGAGTCTTCTAGCGGGTTGGGAACTTCCGTCATCGCTTGCGGGAGAGCCCACCTCTGCCGGCGGAGACACCTCTGCAAGAATGTCTGCAAAGTGACGCGAGAGTTTGAACATCTCGTCGATGGGGAAAGGCGCCGTCGTGGAGCTTCCGTTATCGGGTGTGGATGCCATGCTGGATCGGCCATGCTCCTCGGAAGAATCCATTTGAGCGGGTAGATCCGAAGAAAGCTCGAAGAGCCGGGAGTTGACTTCCGTGATTCGAGGCATCCACTCCTCCGTCGATGAACCGTGGCCACCAGCGTACGGCCGCAGCATGATCTGCCTCGCTCTTTGCCTGATACACCTTTTCGATATCCTATGTGGCGCTGGTTCCTGTAGCTCGCTGGATGCTGACAGGTGCCCGTAGGGTGAAGGGCTTCCGAGATAAGCACGGCCAGCGAAGCCTGTTTCCGGAGCCATAGGTGATGTGAATGCGGAGTCCGATGTTGTAGAGTGAACGGGACTCCAGGATTGGGCGATGGTGTCTCCATGGTCCGGCATCAAGGCGTCCATGCTGTCGCCGAAGGCTTGTTGTACCGGTTGCTGCTGGTTCGGACCGGATTGATAGAGACCGGCAGAGTGGCCGCCAAAACTGAAGTCGAAGTCCACTATGTCTAGCATAGCATCGGACGGAACGGTACCATCATCTGGGAACCCTGTGTTACTGCAGACAGAAGCAAGATTTTGTGTCTTGACGATTGCTACCCGAAAAAGATAATGTTAGTGAGGGGTGCTTGTGGACAGGTTGAAGACACTCGACTCACACAGATCAGTGTGGGCGACTGGATGGCCGCCCTTTTTCCGTTGGCGTTTAGGCGACGGAACACGTTTTCGTGAGAGGTCTCGAGTCGAGCCGTGCTGATTTTGCTTCCGATAGCGCAAAGAAGGACTCGAGGTGCACTCTTCCTTGAGTCTGATACACCGCTCGCATGCTTCATCGCCGACGCGTTTACAGCTGAGCTTCTGCCTATGGCACCTGTCGCATGCTTTCCGAATCGGACCGTCAGACATTTTCACTGCCATGGTTCGGCGTTTACAAGACAAGAATAATCTGCGACGGAATTCCAAAGTCGGGGGGGTGAGGGGAGGCGTGTAGTCAAATAGGCCTGAATCCATACGGCAGGGAAGTGGGCTGGATCCCTGAACAAAAAGACAAGTTTGCCCAAATGCTTTTCTCTCGGCAGGGGAGCAAAGTACCATCCGAGAGATGTGGACGTGCAGAAAGGTACCGGCATCGACTAAACCCAAGCTGATCTATTCCTCGCCGCAACCATAAGCCAAGTGGGAAAAAGCATCCGGGGGCCGAGTCACTGCCATTGGACCAACGTAGCCTTGAGCGAGAAGGTAAAACATGACTATTATGGGCGATGACGCTGGGCTTTGCCCATCAGACTTGGACGAGATGGCATCTAAACTAACCTGCCCCAGAAGGATAGAATTAGGCCGGGGTCTGAAGTTGGGACTGGGAAGTGGGTGTCGAGTGTTCACCAGCGACGCTTGCTTGCCTGGCAACCAACCAATGGGTATCATCCCCGGTGACCCAGTAAGATGGTACAGGCCTGGGTGACATGTGTGATCCAAGTCCATTACGAGGGGTTGAGAACGATGTCTAGGAGAAGAAAACCCCGCTAGCTCGAGAATACCAGAAACACAGCGGCCAGGTCTCTCTGAAGAGCTGCGCTGCGCTGCACTAGACAGCCTGGGGTCGGTTGCAAGGGGTCGATCGATCCGCCAGGGCCCCTGTCCGTGGAGAATATGAAACATGAAAAAGGAAGCATCGGGAGAGTAAGACTGAGGTGAGATGGGGACAGACAAAGAAAACATCTTAAGAGAGAGGAAACATAAAAGACTCTGACTTACCATGGCAGACCATATCCACTAGGCTTGGCGCCTGTCTGAACCCCCTACCCACCATTGAAGCTCTCCCCCACCACCGCACGGCATGGAATGTTTGCCGTACAGGAACCCCAGAACAGGCAGGGAGTAAGTATTAGCTGAAGGGGCAGCCATCGTGCCATCTCGGCGATGACTGAGTGCCAAGGAATGGCTAGGGACAAGTGGTGGTGAACCTGGCTCGCCGAGAGGTGTGCCAGGTGGTCATCCTATCCAAGATCCTTCAGGAAACGGCAGCAACCACATGCTGCAAAACCGGATCCTTGGTTCAAGCCCTTAGGGCCAAGCCTTAGGCTCGAGATGGATGACTCTTCTCGCAGCAAGATCTTTGGCAGCAAAGATATTGGACTGCGTGGCCCCGGTATCTCGGCTTTCGCCATCGGCCATCGAGCCATCGTACGGCCTCAAAAGCAAGCCCTTCGGGATGTGTATCGACCGCCTAGGCCGTTGGCTCGTCGACGGCTTCATCTAGTGCCCCAAGTCCGCCCAAAAGTTACGGTAAGCTCAGAACTCAACTGCTTAAATCAAGGCCAAAGATCGTTCTGGCGAGGTTTTGTGAGATATGAGGCATTCAACAAATGCGTGTCAAGATGACGGTTTTTGCTGGCAGTGCTTGCTTGAATGTTTGTCAATCTGTTTGTGGCAAATATTTGTTGGTGATTTCAGTTAGGCCCGGCAGCTTGGTTCCTGCCAAGGTCCCCCCCTGCGGCGCATGTTGGGCGCAATTTGGTATTGCGAGGTGATATGCAGCGCTCAGGGCACGAATGAACTGCGCGATGTCCCCAGAAAAGACTGCCATCGACGGAACGGGGGGGTCTTGCTGTCCCAGCACCATGGGTGTGTTGCCAACCGTCTTGCCCTCGCATTCTTGAAGTCTTCGGGTGTGGTACGAAAGAGCCCGTATCCGAAGTCGACGAATCAGAACCGAAGTGGTGGCATCTACATCGGAAAGAAAAGCGATACGGCGCACGGCTGAGAGTTGAGGCGGGACGTCGTCATGGGCTAGGAGGCAGCCTTGCAATCAATGACCGTTGAAGAAGGCCCGTTATAGGCCCGGACAAGTTAGATCGATAAAGGATACGGCCGAGAAGTTGGTAGGAAGACGCCGTCTCTTTGTTTTGCGGGAAACCCAACTAAGCGCAGTAGTAGCCGGCCAGTTAGCGGGCGCGGTTGAGTGTCAAGCGGACGACGATGTCGACGACGAGGAGCGCGAGAGGTTTGGTCGAAACGCCATCGCCAGCGGGGAACGTGCGTTCCCTTGGAGCTGCGTACCGGATTGGGAAGAATGCAGCCCTAGCGCGGCTTGTCGGAGAGCTTCCAAGGTGTGGAAGGCCGCATGCTAGCTAGCCAGGATCTTCGACGCCACGCCTCCAGGCGAACCCTTACAGGCAGGGTTGCGGCGTCCGCCAAACCGATTTCGAATCCGGACATGGAGATGGACAGCGACGTGGTGGCGCAAATAGCTCGACGAGAGCTGGTGTTCCGGCCCAGCTGGCTGCCCCTGTTTGGTCTTGCAAACCTATTTCAACTTGATCGCCGGCGGATAGGAGAAATAATGGCTGTTCGATGGTATAGAAAACTCGTTTGAGCTTCCCCCAAACCAGGGACAAATTGCAATACATAACCGAAGGGGGTAGCAATAAACAAAAAAGGGAGGGGGAAACAGGTACCAGAATCTAGTCTTGCTGCCCAAACCTGAAGAGGCGAGTGCGGCGGCATGGCCTAGAGTCCAGCTCGTGGCAGCCCCCCTTGATGACCACTCGGGAGGACCGTCAAGAATGTCAGCCAGAGTTCCCCGTGCCGTGCCGTAGAAGTCGACCGAGACGAGAAGACTCGGCGTCACGTCACCTCAGATGCCGTTGAGACTGGGCAATGGACCGTCCAGAGTATGGCGCCTTGGACCGGGCCGTTCTCCCGAGCATCGTTTGGTGGTTGTCTTTGATCTGAAAGATATTCTTTGTTTAGGATGTTATAGAGGGCGATTTCTCAGGCAACAGCGGCCGAAATCTAATGCAGCCGAGTTTGAACGAAGGGGCGGCGGGAGACAGCATCGCGCGGCACCGCCAGCACGCAGCGCGCTTCGTTAGGGTCGGTGTCAGTTGCACGAATGCGGGCCGTCCCACGGAATGGGTGATCGGATCATTCCATTGTCCGTGCTGACGAATCGAGACTCACCGAGGCATGTTTGACGGGTCACTATCTCGTGAAAGACATCCCTCCCCCCACTCATTACTCGATTATTCAGTTCCGTGCCCACAGATGCGTTGAAGTTGGAACCCTAGACAGACTAGTGCGCTGCGACAAGTATTGAGCCATATGGGCGGTGAGTGGTCAATATTGGCTACGGATAAGTCCGAAATGGGCTTCAGAGGCGTGGCCGGGCTGTCAATAACCGAGCGATAGCAAGTGGGCTGAAGGTTCGGTCTTGTTCTCCATGGGCAGCGAGTCTCCCGTTTCGCCGTCAGGTTCGGCGAGGACCAGCACATCGGCGCACTTGGACTGAAAAATTGCAGTCATCGGTTTATTCGTTTAGGTTTGCTAGAGAATGCGAGGGGTAGGCTGGAGATCGAACGGGGGGTACAGGCAACGGGGCGTGTGGGTGGCGGCATCGAGAGGTCCAGTCCCTCCCGTCTAGGTCAATGTTTGAATACCTCGTGACGAGAATTTGTAAGGGGATGGCCGATGATGCATGGATAGACTTCGAGTCCCGACATTCCAGAATCGCCAGGCATATACTGTATGATTTGGGCCCCTTGAAAAGGCAACGAGCGTTTGCAGGTTCTGAGTGGCGCAGGGGAGCGGAATGTAACTGACCCTTCCAGAAGTCCGTCCCTCGCGTGCATCCCAGGGCGCTTCACAAGTGAATTTCGCCCCTTGGAATGACGATGATGGAAGCGGCCAAAGTATAGGTAGTCGGCTCCGTGGGCGTGCGTGTGTGAGAGATCAGATCATTCGGCAAGGGTCCGGGATGTCCTTTGAACCCCAGGGTCTGATCCGGAGATCCATCGAGCAGTGGCGTGGATCGATATGAAAAGTCAGTTGTGATAGTAGCCATGGCGTGCAAGTCAACCGATGGCATGAAGGGGGGGGGGGGGGGTTAATCGATGGAATCAATGGTAGGTCGGGTCGTGCGGGATGGAGCCGCGGAAAAGAAGGCAAGAAGAACAGCCAAAGAAGAAAGGTGATTGAGAAAGGAAAGAAATCGATAGTGTCAAATGGACGGGGGAAACAACCCCCAGTCGTCGCCGTAACCTTGGGCCCTCTGACCTGACGCGAGGAAAGGAAGAATAAATCAGTTTGAGGAGTGTGGAGGGTCAAGAGACGCATTAATCACATTTTCGCTTCCCCATTGACGTGCATACCTGAGCATCCGAAGCATTCATTTGTTGTATGTTTGTGGGAGATGAAGATGATGGGAGATGGCGAGAGGGAGGAGGGAACGGAACATACAGTACAGGGGCGTGGACGCAGGAGCAACGGGCGGGGCGGAACCGAATCCCCCGGCAAAAGTACGTACCTGTTTTCGGATAACGGATCCGCGGATGGCAGGAGAGGGGCCGGAGGCCGGGGCCGGGGGATCGATACTTCCTTTTGAGTTATTTACCTACGTAGTATTACTCCGTACTCTGTACCGGTAGGTAGGCAGGCAATTACCTAGGTACTTACCTATATGTACCTACCCACCTATTTGTTTCTTCTTGCTTGAGGCAAATCCTTTCGCACTTGCTTCTCTTGCCCCTCCCCGTTGTGCCTGCCTCTCCCGGGTTGCAACAACAACCCCTTCCTGCCCTTGGATCAGGAAGACCCCACAGTGCCTTCTCCGGCTGTCCAGATCCCACTTTCCGTTCCAGAGTACCTACATACTCGGCTGAGTACCGTACCTGCCTACCTAGTAGTAGGTACTCGTTTCTTTCCTCTTGCCTCCACGCTTGACGGCCGGCCTCGGGCTCCCGTTCTTCCGCGGGCACGTGGCCTCGTCCAGTTGCGCCGATGGTAAACCCTGGGTCGATCCAGTCCACGGTCGTTCCGATCCTCGCACCGTTGGATGCGACCCTGTCTGCTTCCTCCGACCTCCTCGCGTCCGTCTCGTCGAGATGACTGCGGTATGCGAACTTTTCCCGTCTTTCAACGTCACAGTTCAACAATGCTGACTCTACCCTAACAGTAGTAACCCGAGTCCGACCCGACCATGCCTTGTCTTGGTGAGTGAGCTGCTTCGCTTCGTCGACCAGCAGGAGAGTATCCATTCTCCCCACTCCCTTCGAGGCACGGGATGGCCTTGCTTCTCCGCCTCTACGTTGGGCGTCGGCTCTTTGTCATATCTCGCATTGGGACCGGGTCCAGTATGGCCAGGACCCGATTGACGAGGGATCCATTTCTATTCACAATTGCCCGACAGTACACCCATGTCGATCTTGATGCATCATCGCGTCAGCTTTCATCGCAGCTTCGTCGGATCGCCGGGTCCCCCACCCCCATGCCCGCATTCTTGGCGACGCCCTCCCTGCTTCGCCCGTTGCCTGCCCTGCCGGAAGCTAGCCGTGTCCGCGCAAGTTCCCGCTCGGGGAACAAAGCAGCGCCCGCGCCGTGTATTGACACAGTTGGCCCCGAGGATCGTCGTCATGATGCACATTTTGGAAGCCAAGCCAAGTTTCTCGACACCTTCCTTTGCTGCGAAAAAGAAACGTCTCCAAAGAATGAGACCTTTCGCTTGTGTCGCGCTAGGTTTCTCGCCGTCCTTCCTCCCCACACCATACCTGTGCCTCCTATGACCGTGGTATGAGATGACAGTTCAACGGCGTATGCCTTACCTGACTTGTTATACTTGTTCGTGCAGACAAGCTCCTTGGCCCATCTGACACAGTTTGCAATAACAGGCACCTGCTTCTCAACAACCGCTTGCTCTTCCTCAACCTAACGGGTAGAGATCAACATTACTCGTCGCGCCTCGTCAACTTATACACTCGAAACGGATTCCAATTTCTCTTCTGCTTCTGGAAGCCTAGTTTCCTTGTTTGAGGGCACAAGGTGCAGAGAATTTCACGGCAGGAAAGTCCTTCGCAGAACCTGTCCTCCCGAAACGACCCAGCTGAGAAAAAGAAACGCTCAACCCTCACGACCGAGGGAAGGCCAGGTACCTAGAGAGTGAAAGGGAGAGAAAAAAAAGAAGAAAAAAGAAAAGAAACGATTCCAACCTTTCTCTTAGTCACCTAAACGATTTTTTTTTAATTCTTTTCCTCCTCGGATAAAACAAGTGGAGAATTTCTAAGAGGTATCTCTCTATCCGTTCGAATCAGCCAAAACACACGGTCAACTAAAAATAAGAAAAGATCAAGAGAAAAAAAAGCCGAGAACAAAAAACAAAGAAGCCGATTTCTAGACTGCCACCCCGCTGTGTCATCTTTTTCGCAAGATCCCTACCATTGATTCTTTTCCGACCATACTGTCGTCCGATCCAACCCTTCGAATCTTGGTCGCTGATTACTGCTCGACGTCACCAGTCGCGAACAGCTCCAGTTTTACTCTCCCCCTCTCAATACCCATGCTCTCGAGCACCAGTCTCACCTTGAGCATCCAATCTCTGGGCCCACAGACATAATACTCGGTTCTATTGTCGGCAAGGCCGAGGTCCTCCTGAGGCAGTCTCGTCAGGTCAAGGTGCTGTTCGAAGTCGTATTCCTGTCCTTTCTGGTCGCCCGGCTTGACCTCATTCAGAAAGATGTGCGCACTGACATTTTCCCGCTCGCGAGTGAGGTTTCGGATGTGCTTGGCAAAAACCAGACTGCCACTGTTACGTGCCGCGTGTACCCACTTGACCGGCCGGCTTGGCGTCTTGGACTCGGGGCCAAGTACCGTGTTGAGGATGGACATGAGCGGGGTCGCGCCGACGCCTGCCGAGAGCAGCACCAGCGGGACGTCGGCCTTGTCAGCCTGTGCCGTGTCGAGGAAGAAATCACCCTGGGGGTGAGACACCTCGACCTCGTCGCCGGCCTGGTAGCTGTCGTGCAGCAGGTTGGAGACTAGACCGGGTACCAGACCCTTGCTAATGTCGTCCTGTGGCGCGTTGACGACTGTCGCCTCGCGCTTGACGCTGATGCGGTAGCAATCGCCCCTAGAGGCGGCATCGCTGAGACTATATTGCCTCGGCTGGGTAATGCCGCCCAGCTGCGGCACGGGAACTCGGACGGAGATGTACTGGCCGGGCAAGTACTTTGGCAGTGGCAGTTTACCGTCCGAGGGAGCAAGGTAGAAACTGGTCACGGAATCGGATTCGTTGACGCGACGGATTATCCTGAACTTGCGCCAGTCGGTCCAAGGACCGGCCTCGCGATACATTTCACTCTCGCGGCCGACAAAGACCTGAGCGAGCTGGGCGTAGGCCGCGGTCCAAGCCTCGGCGATCTCGGGAGTGAGGGCGTCGCCCAGGACTTCACCAATGGCTTTCATGAGGTGGGTACCGACGATGTCGTACTGCTCGGGGCGGATGTACAGAGAGGCATGCTTGTGGGCGATGCGCTCCACGGCGGCCTTGAGCTTGGGCAGGTCGTCGATGTAGGTGGCGTAGGCGAGGACAGACTGGGCGAGTGCCCGGGGCTGCTCGCCCGAGGCCTGGTTGCGGAGACTGAAGACGTTCTTGAGCTCTGGGTGGGTGTCGATCATGTCCTTGTAGAAGAGCGTTGTGATGGTCTCGCCGTGCACCTTGAGCACGGGTGCCGTCGACTTGACGATGTTGATCTGGTCTTGAGTGAGGCCCATTTTTGGCGTTTGACGTGGAGAAGAATCAGCCAATACGTTGGGCAGGACGAGCCGGTTGCGGCAGCAGGCGAGGATGTCTGGAGGGAGAAGTCCAACATGCACTGAAGGCGAGTCGCGAAGGTGTTTGTCAAGGATGACGACGTTGATGATATATGTTGCAGCAAGTTTGCGCGGGCAGTCCGAAGTCTGAAGTTTTCTTATGGTCTGTGTGTGCGCATGAAGGGTCGGAAAGAGAGTGTCTGATATCTTTGTGTGGATACTGAGTTCTTTCGTGCCGTTTCAGAAAGCTTGGGAGGGCCACCCGGCCAGGTTTTTATCTTACACGAAGCTGCTGCTGCGTGCGGCGGGTTGCACCGTCTCCGTGGCACGACGTGGGCCATGTTGACAAATGCCCGTCACCTCAATGGTCTCTCCGCGGCGATTCCCTCGCTCCCTCGGCGGCGTGAGAGGCCACTGGGTCGTTTCTCGCTCTGGCCTCCACAAAAAAAGTCATGGCCTTCTTACTGATGGCCTGACCTAATATCGAGGATGCCTACACCCTCTCGTCGTGTAGATCTTGCATCTCCGCGGGGTGGGGGCAAGGCGGCACGGCGTGCACACGGCGGGGATGTTCAGCGGCCGGGGGTAACCCCTGACGTTTGGCGCAGCGGAATTCCATCTTTGACGGCTCGGCCTTTGGATTGGCGGGTGTGCCTCTCTGCCCGCGAGTGTGGGAGTCAAGAATAAGCACAGGGTGGAAGGGACTTTGCTGGCCTGCGAGACAGTTGCGTCGCTCTGGAGGCGGCAACTCCAAGTTCTCTCCAACGGCAATCAAGTGCCGTTTATTAACATGACCACAGACACTACGGTCGGTCTACTATACTGATACAAAAAAAAAATATCAGATGCTAGAGCGTCAATACCTTACATGTCAACGATTGCAGCGTGTTCCGTGCTCTGAGCACCGGCAGATGCGACGCGAGCTGCGATATGGTTTGACATGTCGCGTTCGCGCGGTCTGAGGGTTTATGCCTCACTCGAGGCATAAACCCAACGACTGCAGAAACAGAGAGGGAGAGAAAGAGAGAGAGAGCGCCAGTAGTGCCCTAACAGCGCGCTCAAAAAGCCGGCTATCAAAGCCGAGTCCATCCCGACATGGCCGGACAAGTTGAGGGTCGCACACGTGGTGTCAGACAAGTAGACGTATTAACTGCGGTATACAATAATTGTGAGCCGATGACCAGATTCCCTTTTTTGATGTCGACGTCTGAGGACAAGACTGCAATATTTGAATGAGGCACTTCTGTCTGGGCTGTTTGTCTGAGCCCGTCAGTATCGCACCCGCCGGACGAGTGAGCCAAGGGATGGCGGAACACGAGGTGTGCAGAGCAAAGACGGAGGGGACCACCTTCCCACGAACAAGAAGACACGAGGCGACACTGCGTCAAAAGACAAATGTTGCACCGTCGCTCCCGTGAGAATCACCCGTGGGTGGACGCCGGTTGTGCGACGTAACACAGCCAGAGACATTCTGCGTCGCTCGTCGATTGCAATCTCGCCTGGGCGAAGCGGTTCGGAGGAGGAGGTTCAACAACGGGTCCAGACTATTTTTTTCTGTTCCAGCGCCTCCCGTCGCCCTCGCGGTTCATCCATGCAGGTGAGCGGCGGCTGCGCGTCCCGTAGCGTCGCTAGCCGCATGGGCAATGTCTCCTCCTGGTCTTGGGCCTTTGAGACTCGTCGCTTCTAGCAGAGAGTCACTCAGAGGGCCCGGGAAGACAAGACACTTTGGGCAGTCGATGATGCAAGAAATAAATAACACATGAAAAGATGGACACAGATTGGGCGGGGAAAAGACGATCATCAACGAGGACCCCGCGCTATGGACGGGACGGACTCACATCACTCCCGTCACTCCCGCCCTCCTCCTCCTCCTCCTCCTCCTCCTCTTCCCCCTCCTGGATAAACATCGAACAGGGGGTGACCCCACGAAAGCAGCAGCGATGACAGAACCTGGCCTGACAGCTGGGGTCGTGCTGAGTGAGCTACATCAGTCGAGGCGGTGATGGTCTACAGTCACAAGCCCTGATGTCAGGTCCGGAACGGGGGCTCGGAACTGTAAGCGACCATGTGCTGCATTCCTATCCTACCCTTCACGCAACAGGCACGACCCCTGCCTATCGGCCTGCCTGCTGGATGTTCCTAGGCGATACGGACGCTAACCCTACTCCAACGGCCCCTAACCCCCAACCAGGACACAAGGGTTATGCCCAGGCCCTAGAGAGGGAATTCCCGGAACATGTGCTTTCCATCCCCCCCAATCATTTTTATCTTATTTATTTTGTTCGTTTTGTCTCCCGGCCTTTCCGCGCGCGCGGGTGAACGCCTCTGCAGAGGTGGTAGAGAAAAGGCACGTAGGGATGGAATGGGAAACGTCCGGAGCCAGAAGCCTTTCCACCGCGTGCCAACCCTTTCATGCCTCCAGCTAGCCTCGTACCATTCGTGACACACGAAAAGGCACGAAAAGGGCAAGGGTTCTAGACGCCGTCCTCCGCTTAGAAATTAGTAAGGGCCTTCACTGGTGGGTGGGTGGGTGGGTGGGTGTTCCGATCGCCTGCGGGGGGGATCCGAGTAATCCTGCATGGGGCACACGGGATCCACGCCGGTGGTCCGACATTTTTCATGGGAGGGAACCACTCGCCGGGAAACCATATACGAATAAGAAGGGCGCACACGCGCGGCTGCACCCCGGCCTCAGCACATGATGCCACTCTCATCCCGCCCTTCCATACCTCGCAGATCTCGCTATAGCGAGATGTCCGAGGTGCGAGCTGTGGGCTCATAGGTAGTCCACCCGTTGGAGTCTAGGTTTGTCAGTCACCGTGTGGACCGTACGATCGGGTCTACCCGTTCCAAGGAGGCGGGATTCGGAGACAGAGAGAGGGGGCGGTGGTGGGCTGGATTTGGAATCTGTAGACGAACTAGAGGTCTATATCTCCGCGGCGCAATCACAGGCTGACAAACGAGGGGGGGGGGGGGGGCTCGTCTGCTTGGGTCAGACGACGTATGAGCTTCCTTGTGTGGTACTACACTTCTCGGGCGCAGCTGGGCCGGTCGAGGGAGGCTTTTCCGGCCAAGGAACTCAGGGCGACGATGCCTTCTCCGCGGGCCATCAGAGCACGCACACATCGGCCTCCGGTGCTTCCCATCTCTCCTCGGCCATGCTGGGTTGGAAGACTGTCAACTCTCTCCCTCGCCTTTGGCCTCGACGAGAAGGGACCCCTCCAGTCTAAAGGGCCATGGGTCGATGGTCACGCTCTCGTCCAGACCGCATCCTCTCCTCACTTGCGCGAGTTCGAGGGGCTGGTCATGGGCCAAGATAATGAAGTGGTAAACGGCGGTCCTTCTCAGTCTTTATGCTAGAGGATCATGCCACCTTTGACTGGACTGATGCCCGTCGACCGGGTTGGAATAGGCGGATCTCTCTCTCACAGTCGTTGCCACGAACTACTACTGCATTGCCATGGCATCTGCCACAAACTCTGGCGAGCACGTCGCATCTGCAAACGGTGCAGACGACGGCTCATGTAAATAACTGCTAAATAGATAAATAAAAATACCATGAACAGTATAACACGAAACCCGACACGCCTGGTTTACGTATAGCTAAACATGAACAGCCCGCTTAACCGTCCTACACCATCCTGGGCTCCCAGTCCCAATACCCGACGTTGGCGCCGCCCGGGCGCCACCGATCGAGCATGACGCTCCGGTTGTGGCAGCTCGGCCGGAAGTGGTCCTCCACGTAGCCGAACGGCCACATGGCGATGAAGCAGACCTCGCCGACGCCGCACCCGGGCTTGCACCTCTTCCAGCCGGCCCACCCGAGGTCCCTCTTGAGCGCCTGGATTGCTGCGCGACCCCGCCGGACCGCGCCGCCGAGCTTCTCGTCCTCGTCGCCGTCGCCGTCCCGGGCGGCCGCGACGACGTCCCGGATCTCGGCCTGCGAGAAAGCGCTGGCCAGCGCGGGCGCCGCTTCGAGGACGAGGCCGCGGACGTCGAACAGGTCCCCGCAGATGCGCTCCGCAACGGTGGAGATGGCGGCGTGGAGCATGCTGTCCTCGGGCGTCCACTCGTCCCTCCGTACCGTCGCCGGCGCGAGGTGGCTCGCGGCGCACCGCTCCCTCGCATCCTTGACGTAGTCGTCCTCCTCTCCGCGCGCCGCCGCCGCCGCCGCCGAGTCGGATGCGTCCCGCGGGTAGTCGACGAACGAGTTCGTCACGACGAGGACCTGGCCCAGGAACGCCTCGTCCCCGCCGTCTTCGCCCTCGTCCGCCAGCGCCTCGATGCGGTCGGCGTACCGCGAGACCATCATGTCGACGATGCCTTGCCAGTCAACCTTTCCCTCTGCCCACTTTGCCCCCTTGACGATCTCCTCGACCCTCCCGAGAATCACCCCCCTCTCCCCGTCCGCAGGGAGTCCCAGCCTCGGCATGTCCCCCCGTCCGTTCGGATTGGTCACGTTCAGCGGATACCACAGTCCGCTCACCATCCCTCCAAAGTCCAACCTCACTCTCCCGGCCCCGATGCCGTCGTACCGCTGGCTGACGGCCCTCGCCCACTCAAACAGATTCATGCCGTACTCCCCCTCGACCTGGTCCATCCACGGTCTCCTCAGCATCGAGACGAGGTCCAACCCGTCAAAGAAGTCGCAGTAGATGGACTCGAACCCGATCTCCATCCTGATGACCCCGTCGAGGCCCCATGCCTTGACGATCTTGCAGATGTCTCTGGCGCGGTCGATGTCTCCGTACCCGGGCGCGTTGTCGACCCCACGCAGCAAATAGTCCTGCGTATCCAGCGTGCCCATGGCCGTCTTTCCCGCGCTCATGCCGTCGATGTACAGCAGCTTCAGGTCTCGGTTCGCGCGATACGTGTGGAGGTACCCCCGGACGGGTCCTTCTGGTCTCCCAGGCCTCCCGGAACCCTTGGGAGGCCTCTCGTCGTCCTCCCCCCCGAGCGGTTTCTGTCCTTGAACCGTCGGGTCAACCGGCCGGCCGCCGTGTGGACTCCCACCTCGACCGGGTGGCGGGCGCTGGCCCCTCCAGCTCCTTGCAAAGTTCTCGGAATGTTCCATTTCGAAAGCGAGCCACTCGAAACCCTCGGGCGTGCTGTTGGAGTTGGTACCATGGTACATCAGCGTACCCTTTGGCACCGTCGCGGGGATCAGCCCCATGCCGTTGTGGTGCACCGAGGACCCCCACTGCCGCATGGCCGAGTGCACCTCGTTGAAAATGTATGCGGCATTCTCGCGAGCGTGGTCGGGGCTCGGCGAGAAGCCGGAAGGCGACGACGACGATAACGACGATGATGGCGGGTGTACGTGGGACTCGTCCGAGTGTGGCAGTGGCAGCGAGAAGGGCTCGGCTGACACGAGGGCGGCTGTTGTCGGAGATAAAGCCACGCTGAGCAGCGCCGAGATCAGGTGGACCATCTTGGTTCACTGTCGAACAGTAGCGTCCAAGACTTTTCAACCGCAAAGAAAACACCAGGCAAAACACCAAAGAAGAAGCAGAATTGATCCTTGAGGCACCAGGGGAGGGAATGCAAAAAAGAAAAAGGTGGAAAGATTGCGTGCGCTATGTTTGTTTGGCTTATCAGCCGGAAGGATCGATCCATCTTGGTTCGGCTACCAGAAAAACCAGGATCGAAGGACCCTTTGCATGCGTGGCTAGTCACGTCAACTGACTGATTCGTCGTCGTGACACTCGAGATGTTGCAGCGGGACCTTCCGGCCAGGGGCGCCGGACTGCGCCATCACATGCTGTCACCTGCTGTCACCCCCCGGCCCTCGCTCGCTATATTTAATGCCACGTTTGAACACTTCTCTGCGAAACATCGGTTTACGTGATAGAACTCGCTCAACAAACAAACAAAACAACTCGGCGGCAGCTGAGATACCAACAGTAACACCGCAGCCGCATCATGCAAATCAGTGGGGGTTGCGCATCTTCATCTATCAATCATATCTCTACGTCTAAGCATCACGCCGCCGCAAAATCAACCCTTCTTCCATGACAAGATCCAAATGTCCCCCGACTCAACCCACACAATCGCACGACGTCCCATTGCACAAGATAGTCACTCGGAATTCGCGTCCTTCTACTGACCCTTCTCGCCGTCCTGGTCATTAGCATTTCCAGAGATGACGGCAATGTCCTTCTTTTGCGTAAATTGCCGTGGCAGACGGTTCTCCCCCTCCCTGTACGGTTTGCCGGCTTCCTCTCGGGCCATGTCGTTAACCCAGCGCTCATCACCGCGCAGCCCAGGCCTGACACCCACTTCGGCCCATTTGGCGGCAAGGTAGAACCAGCCCAGTGCGTTTCCGACTGTACCCACCTCATCGCTCACGCCCGTGGCAGCAGCGTGACTCATCTTCTTGTGCAACTCGTTGTCGGTGAAGAGGTCTACAAGGTGACCTGCCACGGCCTTGTAGTCGCCGGGCTCAACCAAGAAGCCATTGACATTGTCCTTGACCTGGAGGGGAATGCCACCTGCACGGGTGGCAATGACAGGCCGGCCGGCGTGCAAAGCCTCCGAGACCTTGACCTCGAAGCCTTCGCGGGTGGAAAGCTGCAGGACAACGTGGGCATTAGCGATGACCGTGTTGAGAACCTGATCGTTGGGATCGAGGCGCATGATGCTGCAGTCATTGATCAGATGAGGGTAGTGCTTCTCGAGCTGGTTCATTGTCTGGTCATAGATCAAACTGGCATCAGGATCGTCGATAGAGCCATTGCCGCAGACGACAAGCTGCGGGATCTCAGTCTCTCCCTTTTCGTCCATCAGACGCCGAAACTCGGCGTAAGAGTCAATCACGGTAGGGATGCCCTTGGAAGGGTCGAAGCGAGCCACCTGAATGATGTACTTGCGGGCTGGCCACAGAAGCTCCGTCATTCCCTGGTTGCGGCAGGCGGTGTTGTAGATGTGTCCGTAGTAGCCCGTGTCCCACTTGTTCAAATGCTTGTTCAAGCCATCCAGCCAATCCGTGGTAGCTGGGAGGTATACCACCTTCTCCCGAGGCACCGTGTTTGGCACGAACATGGGGATGGGATGGCTGATAAACATGTCGGCATGCTGAATATTGCTCCACAAGAAGCGCCAGATGTCTTCCTGGGGGGACCCGGCTTTTGCAGTCAAGTCACTACGGATCTGGATATGGGATCTGTAAAGGACGGGCCGGTCGGGTGTCATCTTCTTGATTAGTGGGATCAAGCCGGGCATCTGCGGGTCGTCAATCTGGACGGCGCACACCTGTCAGCCGTAGTTCACAACCGGAGCCCCGGAATGTCTGATGCACAGGAACCGCATTCTGATATGGATGGGGGTGGGGCGATTCCTGATAGAGGAGGAGAGCTTGTGTGGAGGTCATCCCACTTTGAATGCACCCCATGGAGGGGCAATCGGCTCTGCGCGTGAGGGCAGGGGCAGGTAGGTTTGGAGGTGATAGCTGGGGAGAGCGGGGAATGGATTGGAGAAAGCTCACCATGACCACGTCGGCACCACCCTCTTCCGGAGGTCGCAGAGGGCCTCCCTCTGAAAGCCAGTAGCGGTTGGCATTGTCCGTGATCCAATCAATAATGGACTGCTTCTCCTCGGCCGAGACGCGCTGATCTGGATGGCTGACTCCCTGGAGAATATTGTGGATGTTCTTGGTGACCCTGAAGACGCCGGGCCTGGGCTTGGGCACTAGCTATGATGTCAGATCCATACGATTTCCCGCGAACCAAGCAGTCATCTTCCCTGCCGGATAAAACGTACCATACCAAGTCAGATCAACGCCAATGAGACGCGCAAACCGGACGAGGGCGTGCCGCATCAAGGCGACACCACCTCCCTGCGGGGTACTACTGAAGAAGGCGACCTTTATCTTGTTCTCGCGAAGCTTCTTGGCATAGAACATAGTGGCATCCCAGGTCGAGGCGCCGCATGTGTCCTTGTGGTTCTGAACCGTGTTGAGCTGCACGCGGAATCCAGCGTCAGTCTGGACAACGCCTCTCCAGCCAACTTGGAGCAGCGGAACTAGTGAGGGACCAAAGTTCCTGCAGATGAGCTATTAGCAGTTGGTTCTGTCGAGTTGTTAAGTGCTGATTGAGACTGGGCAGACGTCTTACATGATGCACTTGCGAGCCATCGAGTCGGCTTGCTCGTCAACGCGCTTGATGTCCCAGAAACTCTTCTCCTTCTGTTCGTCATCGGGGCGCAAGACAACAGGAACGATGTCAAGGTCCAGCCAGAGACGAGAGCACAGATTCTGGCTCATGTATTTGAGGGTCATAGGAAGACCGGCACCGATGAACTTGGCGAAGTTTGCATGTTCGTAATCCTCGAGGGTGTTGATGACATAGTCGGCAATGGCGTCGTTGCCCGTTTGTGTGGCGTCGTCAAGATTGACGTACTTGACCGTGAAGTCGACCAGGTAGACGGTGTCGTGGATTGCCAGGGCGATAACGGCGGTGTGGGAGTCAGCAAAGACGGCCGAGATACCACAATAGAGAGTCTACCAGGCCGCTGTTAGTTGAGGGGAGGTCTGGGTTCTATCCGTCGGGCCGTGATTTGGGACGTCGACCCGACGAATGTCACCACACGAGACGATTAATGACTTACAGTAAGAGCTGGGCCAAAATGATTGCCCTGCTCGTGCATAGTGCTCATCTGCCTCCTTCGGTGCGCCGAAGTGCCAAAAGAGAACTGACGACCTGGCTCCTTTGGGGTGGCCATGACGACGAGGTTCAATTGCGTGTGCAGAAAGATGAATTGGTGTTGAATTGATAGTTTGGACGGAGGAGCCGAAAGGGAGGTCAACTAAATGGTCTATAGTATTGTATCCGCAGACTTGAGGACAATAGCGAGAGGCAAAATCAGAAGAAATAGAGGCGGATGATGCACGGGTTTTGTTCTTGAAATCAGGATGGGGAGCGGCAGACTGAGTGAGAGCCGGCGAGAGAGAAACGAGGACAGCGAACAAGGACCACGGCATGGGACGAAGATGCAAGCAAGGCGAGGAGCAAGGAGGGCAGGAGAGGGGGTGATGTCCGCACTGTACGACGGCAACAAGGTTGGAAGGAGCACGAGGACAGGAAGTCAGGCAGGAAGGCAGGCGAGGGTGGTTGCCGATGTTGTTGGGGAAGCCACCATGGGACGATCCTGCCGTATCTGCCGACAAGCAGGAGACGACTCTGACGTGGGGGGAAGGAACCCATATAATTAGGCAGTTTTATTCTTGGAGGACCTGTTTGACACCATGCAAGTAGTGTAAGACCGAAATGAGGAAGCTGGGGGGAAACGATGAAAAAATAAGAAATAAAAATAAATTCAAGTCTACAGCAGGTACCTTGCCATGTGCATAACACGCATTGACATGCAATAGTCCAGGGCCCTCTCACGACCGGTACCTTCGGGAGGGTAACGGCCAAGCGGGGCCGGCCGCGAACGGTCAGCCAACGTCAGGTCACTCTCGCCCGGGGAAAGGAGCATACCGTGGTAACTTGCCCAAGTGCTTACCTAAGTAGGCAGGTACGTGCCTAGGTAAGGTGATGGCTCGCCTCATCTCGTCATTTTCCACCCAAAGCCAGGTCTGTTTGGTTTTGGGAGATGCCATATGTCGCCGTTCGGAAGCTCGTATGCAGTGGCATTGCAAGGCAAAACAGTCAGCCATGTCCCTGTCGTACGAGCACGCCAAGATACTCGTACTCATCATACCGACATACCTAGCTACAAACCTAACGTGGAACGCCACAAGGCGAGGGCGAATGCTGCGGAGGAAAGCAACCCCTGCTCTGCTCTGCACGTGTAGTGTACTAGTATGTAACCGTACCTTAGTGGTCCCCTCCGCACTTTGTTGGCCCCTTGTCCGTCTCGAAGCTATGCCGTTGAGCTATCAGCCCGGTACTACCTAACTGCTACACGACTCCATCCGACCCCGAATCGAATGTGCGTCGAGGAGGTCGGGGCTGCTGATGAGCGGTAGCATTGCAGCAATGAGGCTTATGCCCGAGACCGCACGTTACCTAGTAGTGATCCTGCCTGCCACCCTCTAGGCTCCAAGGAAAGGTACCTAGGTAGCAGACAAACTACCTAGGTACCTACCTAGGTACTTAGACTTTACCGGGTACTTTGTTAGTTTTTGGATTCACTAGGTAATGTTCTTATTTCCTTATTCGTGTAGGTTCGTCCATCCCAATGGCTTTTTATCGCAACGTCTTTGGAACGTCATCAGTCCATCGACGGCAAGTACATCCAGCGAGCGGCACCTTCTCATTTCCGAGTTGCCTGCCGCCTGCCGTTTGCCGCCTACCGCTTCCTCCTACCGTCATACAGACAGACAGACGAACACTTCCACACACGCCCCCCCCCCCCTTTTCAAACCAACGCGTCTTGGTCGGCGCCACAGCGCCACAGAGTGATGGAAGAATAATTTCTTCTCTCTTCACCATTCTCTTGAGGAGCGAGTATACGATACGCCCATCGCCATTGAACACTTGAAACGCCTCGTCGAGGACCCGACAACTATCTAGACACCAAAATCCGGCACTCTCACATCGGTGGCAGGCACTCTTGCACCTCCCTAGCGCATGACGGCGGTCTCCGTCTCTACTCGATTCTTCAATTCGTCGACGTCCCATCACCATCTCCTCTCCCTCCCCCTCAATGCGCAACCCACCCGAACCAGTCACGCATGGACTCTGCTCGATCGACACCCTGGAAAGAGTCGGTGAGGAGACAGCCCACCCAGCCCGCATTGCTCAGCTTTGGGAATCGTACGGCGAGGTGCCAAAACCATTCCTACTGGACTACTGCACTCAACCATCCTACTGCCAATCACACCACCCACTTTACGACGACGGTCCTCTCTTGAGATCTTTTGTTGCATTATCACGAGCAAAACATGGCAAAGTCTCTGCAACAGCTCGATAACCCGCGCCCTTCCTCAACCTCTGCTCGACGGGCAATCGTTCTCGTTGCACGACGCTGCCTGCAGCAAATGCCCCTGCACGCCGAGATGGGCAATGATCAAGTCCATATGACACCACATTCGAGCTGCACCCCAGTCAATGCGCCGGTGTACCCGTGCAACTGGTGTTACTGGATTGAACTATGCCGCCACCCTCAGGTTCTGCTGTGATTACAGCACTACTAACAATGTCATCGTCCCCTCAACCTTTTGCCCTGCCGCCCAGCTCGCCCCACGGCCAGGTAGGTACTCGTGCACCCCCCCGACACTACTCTGCTGCGGAAACGCATGTACAGCAGTAGTTCCGCCTGCAGCTAACTCCATCACAGCACCAACCCCTCACCCCGCCATGCAGTGCAACAAGGGCCGTTATTTGGTTTCGAAAACCATATTGTCAGCCGTGGGGGGCCTCTTCGTTCTAGGGTAGGCTTAGGTCGTCGTTCACACTGTACGACACGGAGCGAGTTGCACGAGAGCGCATGGCACCACAGCATCCTAACATTTAATCTCCGAGAAAGCATGTGAGACGCTGTAAACTCGATTGCTGATGGGCATGCTGAGGGTCGTCCTTCATGAACCGAGCCCTCTGCTGTGACGAGTACACAGCCAAACCGACATCAGCGCCCGATCAGACAGAAACATGTTATAATCTTATTAGGCTCTAGTTATATGTTGCTTTATCAGTATTAATGGCTTAAAACCCTTGGGTCAAGATCAAAAAGTGCGCCTCAGTTACCATGGTATCTCCAACCGGTACTCCTAGTCAAGGCCCTTACTAGCCTCAAGCCAGCAGCCCATCAAACAGAAGCCCCTCGCCGGAACACCGGTGTGAGGAAAAGATGTGACCGAATTACAGGTTGTGCGGTTTCTGGCCGAGGAGAATGTGGAAGTAAACATAGGAATGCACCGAAGGGTTCCCGAGGTCCCTTCGCACCTCGTCCAGGAAGCTCGCGACCTCGCCGTGCGACCACTTCAGGATGTCGACGAAAGGGCGAAGCGTGATGGCCTCGAGGCCCTCGTATACGACGTCATGTGTCAGCATGCCGATGAGCTTCTTGATGTCGTCCTTGGGCCAGGGCCCGACGGGCACCTTCTTCACCGTATGCCGGATGTCGACGAAGCCGGCGTCGCGAAGGCGCGCCGGGTTCCGCTCCGCGGCGTGCATGTCTGTGCCAACGCGTACCATGGCCTCGTCAAGGAGCTCGACCATGCGGGAGGGGGCGTAGTCGGCGGGCATGGTGTCGTCGTCGCAGCCGTACGTCCAGCGGAACTCGTGGAGCTCGATCCAGCCGCCCGGCTTAAGAGACCTATTCGTCGGGTTGGAAAAAGGTTGCCCAATCAAGGGGGAACGACCGGCAGGGACCGAGAGGGAGGAATATGGGAGTTGACGAGGGACAAAACGTGGTGCCTTACGTGTATGCGTTGCGGAACAGTTTCGGCCAGTCGCGGATCGATGGGGCCATGTTTCCCAGGCGGACAAAGTCCAGCGTGTTGGGAGGGTCGTTCCAATCGTCTTCGGCGTCGTCGATTATAAAGGTCACGTTGGGCGGCTGCATCAGGAGCTGGATAGGGCTGAGGTCGAGACCGATGACGGCGGCCCCGGGGTATTTGTCGCCCACTGCACGTGCGTGAGTGATTCAGAATCGCCGATGGTAAAGCAACCCACACACAGCCGTAATGTTCACCGCACTCGCAGCACAGCATCCGGACAAGATAAGCGATTACAAAGGGGAAGGGAGGACTCACTCTCCTCAACCCAGGCGCCGACGCCCGTGCCGACGTCGAGGATCCTCTGCGGGTTGCGGAGCGGGGCGTAGTGCAGGCGGACGCCGCAGAGGAGCAGCATGGCGTCGTGTTTCATGAGCTCGCGGCGCTGCTCGGGAGCGTCGTTGGGGAAGGGGTAGCGGCCTTCGCGGAAGCGGTGGAAGCTGCGACCATCCTTGTAGACAAAGTCTGTGACGCTCGGCGTCAGGGAGTAGATGTCGTCTTCCGCGGCGTCGGAGGCAGAGGCGTAGCCGTCGTCCTCGTCCTCGTCGTCGTTGTGGCCGTCTCCGGAGGCCATTACCGTATCGTCGTCCGTGGTCGGAACGAAGGCGGTGGGGGCGGAGGCGGCGGCGGCGGCGGCGGCGGGTACAAATGCGGCGCCGTGGGGTTGATGGACGGTTTGCGGCGGGTTGGCGCCGGTGCTCAAGGGCGGTGGGCGGGATGTCATATTTCGGGTTCGAGCAGCGCAAAGGACCGCAGCAAGAGACTAGTAGGAGTGATTTGCGGTTGTCGTGCAATTAGACTTGACATTAAACACTGAGAGATGGGAAAAAGAGCGGTGGGGAAGTTGAGACGATCCCCTGGTCCCCCATTCAGTCAGATGAGAGAGAGTTACATGTTCGGTCGGTCGCTGCATCTGTCGGAACACGGGCCCCCTGGCTCTCTGGCTCTCCCTGGCCGCCACGTCGTATACGGATCCGTTAGCGTTGGAGGAGTTATGTCTCTCATCTACGGGACGGGTTGGGTTGTTTATGCCATTTCCACACGTCGCCACTCATCCCGCCCATCTCTGTCCTCACCATTTTATCCAAAGCGACAGCAGGCCAGCCTCTGGTTAGTCTCTCTCGTACTTGCAGCCCAGGACGAGATTCAATCTCGATCCAGGGTTGCTGGGCAGTTTCTGTTCGATACGTGACTCGCCAGTGAGAAGTCTCCATCGAACTGTCAACAAGGTTTGAGAGCTGCAGATAGGCTATAGCCATGCTCTGAACCAAGAAAGGAAAATCACCGGTACGATACCGTGTCTCGCTCGTTTACTTTGAATCCTTGGCAGAGGAAAGCCAATCCCTTCGGCTTGGTCATTGGACCTGGAAGAAGACCTGCCCGTGGCCGTGGGTTGATGGCAGGACTATGAGAAAGGGCAGACCCTTCCTCCCCACCTTCACCTTCACCTCGGATTTTTCTACCCCGCACTAACTTTTGTAGGTATAGACCCTGGGGCTGAGAAGAAGGGGGGTGTAAAAATCCGAATTTTAATCAATCAACCCCGACCAGCCCGTCTCAATCTCTTGTATCTCTCTCTATCACTCACTCTTCCCCCTTCCCCACACACACGCTTGTGAAAAGGAAGATTTAGCTATATCGTGGAGGGGTTCGGCATTGAACCCGACATCCCCGACGGACACCCATCATCCCACCACGATGGAAGAGCTAGTGCGCTGGGCCACATCCCGCGGGGCCGCCCTCCACCCCTCGGTCGAGGTCTACGACGACCCCAACACCGGCAACTCCTTCCGTGCCTCCCCGGGAGGCCCCGGCGTCAGCCCGGGTGAGACCGTCGTTACCTGCCCAATGGACCTGACGCTGTCCTATCTCAACGCCATCACCACCCCCAGCCCGGGATTCCATCACGACAACAACAAGGACAACGGTGACGACAACGACGACACCACCAGCTCGTCCAGCCCCTTCCCCCCTGCATTCCTCGCCTCCGTCCCGCCCCACGTCATCGGCCGTTTCTTCCTCATCCACCAGTACCTCCTCGGTAAGGCGTCCTTCTGGCACCCCTACATCAGCACCCTCCCCCAGCCCGAGCACCTGCAGTCCTGGATCCTTCCGCCGCTCTGGCCCTCGGATGACGTCGAGCTGCTCGAGGACACAAACGTCCACGTCGCCGTCGCCGAGACCAAAGCCCGCCTCAAGGCCGAGTTCAAGCACGCCGTCGCCGCCCTCGGCGACGACACCGCCGCCGCCCGCCGCGGGTACACCCGCCTCCTCTACCACTGGGCCTACTGCATCTTCGCCAGCCGCAGCTTCCGCCCCTCCCTCGTCATCCCTGCCGCCCGCAAGGCGACCCTGGCCCTCCCCGCCGGATGCGCCGTCGACGACTTCTCCCTGCTCATGCCCCTCCTCGACGTCGGCAACCACGCCCCCACGGCTGCCGTCGCCTGGGACACCGACGCCGACGGGGACGGCGCGTCCAACTCGTGCGCGCTGCGCACGCTGGACCCCTACGCGCCCGGCGCCCAGGTCTTCAACAACTACGGCACGAGCAAGACCAACGCCGAGCTGATGCTCGCCTACGGCTTCTGCGTCCCCGAGTCCGCCGGCCTGCACAACGACTACGTCCACGTCCAGAAGCGCGGGGCCGCAGCCGCAGCCGCGGCCGCAGGGGGCGCCGACGCCGCCAAGGCCATGGACTACCTCATCTCCCTCCGCCCCGTCGCCGATCCGAGCTCCGTGGCGGCGAGGGCCGTGCGGATGCTCGCCGACGTCGACGGCGCGACGGTTCTGCCGCCGTTCCGCCACGTGCAGGATACCATGGTCTGGGACCTGGTCCTGGCGCAGACGACGGCCGAGCAGCGCGAGGCCATGCTACCCGTCCCCGAGACCACCGCCGCCGGTGCCGACCTGGAGCGGCTGCGGAAGGTGCTGGTGGGGGACGTCCCCGCGGCTTTCTGGCCGTTCCTGTTCCAGACCGTCGCCATCATCCAGGACAAGGTCCTCCAGGAGCTCGAGCGGCTGGACCAGTCCGAGTTCGAGATGGAGGAGGCCGGGGCGACGCGGAACCAGCTCATGGCATATCACTACCGCAGGCAGTGCAGAAAGGTCCTGGAGAACGTGCTCGAGTCCATGGTGTTGCCCGAGGAGCTCTCATAGATTTTCAAAGTTTTCTTTTTCCTTTTTCCAAGTTTCTTTTCATTTCAATTTCTCTCCTTTTCTCTGCTTTCTCCTTGTTCTTTTTTTCATTCCTTCTACCTGCGCTATGAAGAACATGTGTCCGGTGTATTCTATGCCTGCTGCCTGAGGAGCCGGCCGTAGACGGCCCTCTCCAGCTCGTCGTACAGCTTGGTCACGACCGGGTCGCCGTGCGGTATGGACTGCACGATCAGCGCGGCGGCGACGCCCGTCTCGCGGTCCATCCACCAGTGACTGTTACACATGCCGCTCCACTGCAGGCTGCCCTTCCTCCGCTTCCCCGGTGCGTCGCTCATGTTGAGGCACCCCGCCAGGCCGTGGTTGAGCTCCATGCCAGGGGCGAACTCGACGGCGAGAGATCCGAAGAAGTCCGCGACCTCCTTCAGCATGGCCGTCTGCTTCCCGTCCAGCTGCGGGGCGAACATGGCGTCCAGGGTCTCGGGCCCGATGAGCTCGCCGCCCAGGAGTGCGCGCAGGAAGATGCCGTAGTCCTTGGCGGTGGTCCACAGCCCTGCGCCGCCGCTGTCGATGGCGTCCGGGGCCGGGTTCCGCGGGGCGGGGCCGGGGGCCAGAGACGACCCGTCGTCGCCGCGGTACTGCCACGCGGCGGTTCGCTCGGCAACGTGGGGGAGCGCATCGGGCCAGAATCCCGTGTCTTGCATGCCGAGGGGGCCGAAGACGTTCTCTGAGAGGTACTCGCCGAGCCTCTGGCCCGTGACCTTCTCGAGTACCTGGCCGGCCCAGTCGATGGCCGTGCCGTAATTCCAGCCCTCGCCGGGGGTGAACTTGAAGGGCGTGGTGAAGCCGTCGAGAGTGGCGTAGAGGTTCGTGGCGGCGCTGTTGGTCTTTTGCCGCCACTTCGTGAGGTCGGGGTCGGCGACGTCGTACCCCAATCCGACGGTGTGCGTGAGGAGCATCCTATAACGTTTGTCAAGCGGACGTTGCTAGTGCAGAAGGGCCGGGGGCGGGGGGTCTCGACACAAAACATACCTGAGCGTGACGGGGGTGGTATTGTCTTCCAGGATGGGCTGCTCGTCCCCGTCGAAGCCTCGGAGGATCTGCATGTCAGCAAGCCGGGGTACAATCTTGCGCATGTCGTGGTCGAGGCCGACGGCGCCCCGCTCGACGAGCTGCATGACGGCGGTGCAGGTGATGAGCTTGGTCATGGAGGCGACGTAGGTGAAGGTGTCGACGGCCCAGGGGCGCGCGTCGGCGGCGAGATCGATGCGGCCTGCTGAGCTGCTGTACAATACGCCTGTTTTGGGGGGTGCGGGGGTTTGGTTAAAACCAGGTTCGGAACTTGCAAGGATAATTCGGTTCGGTTCTCGGGCAGCGGGGCATCTCACCATCTTTGCCGACGACGACGAAGGCGGCGCCGAGGAGCTTGTCTTTGGTGTCGTCGCCGGCGGCAGTGTACTTGGCAAGAATCGCATCGAGGGCGGAGGCCATGGTGTACGTTGTTGGGTCGCGAAGCGGCGAGGAAGTGTGAATTGGGTGAGTAAGGAGTAGTGGTAGTTGTTTTTGCTGCGGCAGTAGACAGACAGACTATCGGTAACTGACCGATAAACAATGCTCCTATTTATGTTGATGCCGAGAAAGTGATTCGGCGGTGCTAGTCAAGGGGCGAGGGGTCTTGGAAGTTGAGAGACGGTCCTGGGATATGTGTCCGGGACGGAAAGGACACGTCAGGAGTTGTTGGGAGTTAAGCGACGGTCCCGGGATATGTCTCCGCAGCGGGAGGGTCACGGTGGAAGGAAGTCAGGCGGCACCTGCCGATCCCGGGTGAGATGGAGGCGGCTGCCCCGCACCTGCTTATTGACATGTCATCGCCTTCTTTGGGCAGGCAGGCAGGTACTTCCTTAGCTACTTCCTCGTTTATCCTTAGGTAGGTACCTAAGGCAGGTACATGGAAAAAAGTACACCGACGCTCCGCCTGTCGAGTCACCGCATCGCAGCGCGCTTGGCATATGCGGCCTACAGAGAGCAGATGGTGTGAGAGGCGGGCGTGGCGTTTATCAAGGAAACGATGGAGTTCGATCCCGTGACGGGGCTAAAGCGATGGTTGGTATGTGCGCGAATATTATAATGAGATTCCGTATCGAGAGCTGGACCAATCTTGGTTCTCGGTATGTATGCCAGGCTATTTATTCACGACGATTTCTTTTGGCAAACTACGGAGTCGACTAGATCTGGGCAGAGATAGAGAGAGAGAGAGAGAGAAAGGAGCTTGTCACCGGGTCTGGATGCTTGATTGGCATTTTTCTTTTCTGGTAATGAGATTCAGTCGCATGGAATCCCTCGTTTCATGCCGGTCAAGTCCCCAAGCAACGCCGCTGAGACATCACCATGACCGGAATATCATTTTTGCCAAGCCAAGCATGTCCAGCAGAGTCGCCACCATATACGCATAAAGGCTGTACGTATATATATATATATATATATATATATATACATTGTTCGAACAGTATTTTAGCCATTTGTACGCATAGGTCAGTTGCCTAGAAGGCCCATGTAACTGGCCACAGATCTAGCCAGCCAGGTCACTAGACTTAGAGATTTCATGCCTTTTACAACCATGTCTTGTTAATGAATCAACCAATCTATAGTCCTTCCAACACATATATATATATATATCTATGAAATCTGCATCACCACATGTAGCGGTACGTCAGCGCCTTGTCACCCTGCTCCGACAGCTCCTCCGCCGTATATCGTCTATCCTCCCCTTCTGCCATCCTTCTATCGCGCGTCTTGTTGATCCCAATGTAGCTGAATATGAGAACCAAGGCCGCGATGATGCCGAGAGCGATGAACCCAAGCTCGAGCGCGTGGCCCAGTACGTAACGCGGGCCGTCTTTCTGCCGGTAAAAGTTGGACGCCATCGCCTGTCATCGCGAGTCAACACAATTCGGTGCTCAGAGTTGTTATTTCATATGGGACACTCACACCGCCCAAGTTTCCAACACCAATCTGAATGGCCATTCCCGCGCTGCGTTTGTAGCTACCGGAGAGGTTGTTGGAGAGCCAGCTGATGACGCCGGGAAAGGCAGGGTAGATGCCGCAGGCAGCGATGAAGACGCCGCCGTAGACGACCTTGGGGTTCGAACTTGATATGCACCTGTTTTTTAATAAAAAATAATTCTTTCGTCAACCTCGTTCTCAGTCATGACCCGATCGCACCAGGTCATTTGGGCAGTAAAGAAGAAGAACAAGAGCCTACATTGAAAAGCCGGCAATCATCATGCACAAGAAGCCGACGATGAACGGGCTTCTCTTTCCCAGCTTGTCGGAGAGATACGCGACAATGACGGCCAAGATCGCTGCGGTGATGTAGATCGGCATCGTCATCAGCTGCGCCGTGCTCGATGTGTAGTTCAGGTTCCGAATGATCGTCGGCAGGAAGAGACTGACGCCGTACAGCGGACACACAACCTGAAAACACGCGTCAGATTTAGTTTTGTCCTTTTTGCCGTGACGACCTCTGGCGGCCGGAGAGAGCTCTTACACCCCAGTAGACAAAGATGTTGACCCAGATCTGCCAGTCCTTGAAGGCATCCCAGACGTATCTCCACTTGAACTCGTCGGCCTCGGCGACTTGCACGCGGTCATTCACCTTTCCTTGCACCTGTCCCTGATACTTCAACCTGTGGACGACGAACGCGCGCTCCTCCTCGGTCAAGAACTTGGCAGTCTCGGGAAAGTCGTGCAGCGTGAAGAACGCCCCGACAGCCACCAGGACAGTGAGGATGCCTTCCAGCACGAACAACCAACGCCAGCCCTCGAGGCCGCCTATGCCCTCCATCTTGGCAATGGCAAAGGCCAGGAGGCCGCTGAACGCGCCGGCGATGGAGGCCGCCGAGAAGAACAACGCCTGCCGGAGCTGGATCTCGTGGCGACAGTACCACATGGTCAGGTAGTACTGAATTTGGATTGAAACGTTAGCTGCAGAGTAACAGCATCAGGAGGGGGGGGGGGGGCGACGGAATGAAGCAAGCACGCACCGCTACCCCTGGGAACAGTCCGGCTTCGGTGACGCCGAGAAACACCCGGGCTGCCAGTAGCCCTTGGTAGTTCTGCACGATGCCCATCAGGGTCATGACGACGCCCCAGGAGACCATGATGGTGGGCAGCCACACGCTGGGGCGCAGCTTCTTGAGCAGCAGGTTACTCGGCACCTCGAAGGCCGCGTAGGTGAAGAAGAAGACAGTGAGACACCAGTTGTACTGGTCGGCAGTCATGTTCAAGTCTTCTTGGAGCCCTTCGATCTTGGCGTTGCCGATATTCCCGCCTAGTGTCTCTGCGTCAGCTGCAGGCCATGCGGTTGTCTGTGGGCCAGGTCTTACGGTCAAGAAACGAGAGCAGATAGAGGAGTGCCAGCATCGGAATGAGCCGGATATCCATCTGTAGGGACGGTCAGACTGTTTTGTTTTTCTTCTCCTTTCTTTTGCCAATAGCCGTTTCCCTGCCTCCAAGTTCACAAGCTTTCCAGCAGCAACGGTGCTCTCACCTTTCTCAGGATCTTCTTCTCGTCCAAATGGGCGAACGAGGCGGTCGTGGTGTCCTGGACTGTGGCAATAGCGTCCCCGCCTTCACTCTCGCTCTTCCTCGGCTTTTGCTCGTCCATCTTCGAGACATCGTGCTTCTCATGATGCGGAGTAAGGATCGAATTCATTATGAAGTAGGAATCACGCGCTCGCTTCGGCACAAAGCCCGATAATGATTCACGCCCCTAGAGTCTTGGGCGCCGCGAGAAGTTGTTGGCCAGAAAGCAGTTTGCAAAGATCCAAGGAGTTGGGGAGGTTGGCCAGCGCGTGTGTTTCCGCATCAGGTCGGGTCGTATTAATGGCCAGAGCTTTCCGTTTCACGTCCCTCCATCCATGATAGACCTTCGGGATGCTTGCCGCCGCTCCCTTTGCCCGCACGCATACCAAACGGCTTGCGAGAGGCCCCCCCGGGTCGTCAGCGGCTGGAACAAGCCTCCATCGAAAGACCAGCTCAGGTCCATACGTCCAATCAAGACGCCGGCTCCCACCCGTTCCGGGAAACGATGGGGACTCTGATGCTTGAGGCGAAAGCTTACCCCGCGTGGCGTCGCCTTATTCCGTGTGGGAGTCTGGAGGGCGGCGGGACGTTGACCGCATTAAACGGCCTGTGGACCCACTTGTCGACTCATGCTGAGATGCCGCATTGGACGGACATCAGTCCAGGCGTTTCGAGAGATCGACAAAGCGGAGCAGAACGCGGTGGGAAGTGCCTCGGTCGTGATCCTGATGTCACCTTGGGGAATGCGGGGGAGACGGGGATGGTGTGTTCGGGCGCCGGCTCGGGCAATGACAAGACTGTTTGCCGCGTAATTATGTATGCACTTGGATCGTTTAGGAGAAATTGAAACCCCGATGACAACCACCACACGTCTGAGTTTTTGCGTTGGAAAATGGCCGACAAGTGAATATATTTGTACAATTATATCACTCGTGTTATTCACTGGCGTGGATTAGAGACAACCTAACGGTCGTTTCATGGTGACAGCGTGTTCTTTTGGGTTTCACATAAAACTTTCACCGGTGCATTGGGAACCGTCAAGTCTGTGATCAGCTCACAGTGCACCATACAAAGACACTAGAAAGCAGTCTGATGTCTCAGGCTTTAAAACGATGTAGGGCAATATCTATCAGAATTTCTTCAAAAAGAATGACATTGTAAAGGAAATATAACTATGGAATGACTTGGTTGTGTAAATATTAGCATTGGAACCGTCCCCCTTACAGTCCTATTAGCACTGCTGGATATTGCTTATCTGTAATACATCAGATGCATGAGTGGGAAAGAATTACAGTTAAATAAGCTAATTTTGATCTCACGTATATTCAACCACTCACAGTAGTGTTGCGGTAGTCAATGGGGGCCAATCAACCAAATACAGCTGTTTTATCTACGCTCTCACTGATAGGTCCGTCGACAGTAATTGGTCAAGCTATTAGAGCAATTGACACACCTTGGGACATCAAGTTGCCGGTGGGTTGACTGCGAAAGAACCCTTTGATGGTTGTATATTTGAAGATATGCAGCAACAATCTGGACGGTTTGGTCATGGTTGATATTTATTTAGGTTGATTATGGCCCTTGTCCAGGCTGCCTGTGTTTCTCCATTAATACTCTATCCATCCCGAATGGTGACAGGATGCCGTTACCAAGTCATTTACCAGTATCTGATGGAATATACGGGTATGACTATGCGTTTCCATGCACCCTGCACACGATACCATCTATGCTAAACATAACAATCGCCTTTTTGAGAAGATGCACGAGTAAATCGCACACTGGGTAAGTTTCTGATCCAAAACCAGAACTGGAATGGCTATCCCAGCTTCAGATTAAGCATAAACAGGCCGTGGAGAACCGATCCACCATCACGCAACGTTGACCATGATCCGTTGCCCTGTGCGATCAAAAGTGCACGCAATTATCAGCGGGGCCGACATGGGGATGAAAGCATCTTGCCACCTCGTGCTTTGCGGGGACACTCCACTCCGGTTAAAGGGGCATGCTGTCTATCCAGACGGGTTGTTGAAATTTCTTCATCGCAAACTTCTCGACGAGTGCATCATGGGCCTCGTCAACATGCTCCAGACGGCTGCGGCCACCGCTCTGTTGGCATTGTGCCTGTACCCTTGCGTGGCGGCAAGCACCTGCAGCGATGCGGCATTGGCTGCTCCGACTGCGGCCGTAGCTCAAGGAACCGTTGAGGGATTTCGCGACGCGAGCTGCAATTCGGTTTTCCTGGGCGTTCCCTATGCCGCCACAACCGGCGGCGAGAACCGGTGGCGGGCGCCTCAAGACGTCCCAAAGTCGGACGCAACGTTCAACGCGACTTCCTACGGCCCGACGTGTCCCCAGGCCATCTCTGGCGGTCTCTTCAGCCAGCAGGGTGAGGACTGCCTGAACCTGAACATCTGGGCGCCCTCGACCGGAAAAGACCTGCCCGTGTTCGTCTACATGTACGGCGGCGCAATGGTCACCGGGTCCAGCAGCAATCCCCAGATTCAGGGCTCCAACTTTGCTCGCAAGGGAGTCGTCTACGTCAACTTCAACACCCGCGAGAGCATCTTCGCGTCTCCGAACTCGGCAGAGCTGGAGGAGGCGCGTTCCGACGAGTCCCAGAACTTTAGCATCCTGGATGTCGAAAAGGCCCTCGACTGGGTCCGCGACAACATCCGGGCTTTCCGAGGCAACCCGGACCACGTTGTGTTTGGCGGTCACTCGTCCGGCGCTGTGCAGGTGGACCACTACCTTTGGAACCACCCCGACACCTGGCTGAAGGGCGCGGTGGAGATGAGCGCAAACGCCGTGTCCGGCCCGGCTTTTGCGCCCGTCAACGAAGCCCTCGATGCCGTCGCCGCGGAATTGGGATGCCCGAAAGCCGGCGAGGGCCAGCTGGGTTGCCTCCGAGGCGTCGACATGTACGCGCTCCAAACGGCCAACTTCAACTCCACCTCCAACACCTGGTTCACCCCCGTCATCGACAACATCACACGGCACTCGGACTATGCTGCACGCCTTGCCGCGGGACAGTATGCGTCGCACGTGCCATTGCTGACTGGCAACTCGAACGGCGAAGGCATCATCTTCAGTCTCGTGTACGGTGCCGAGAACAGCAATTTCAGCTCTTGGATCAACACCTTCGACGCGGACAGCGCGCACATTGAGGATGCTGTCCTCCTCGAGGCGTACAATGCGTCCGACTTCGAGTCCGACCCCCTCCGAAGCGGCGTTCAGTATGGAGACGCTCGATTCAACTGCGCTGTCGACTACCTCCTCGACTTGCGCAACGCTGTACAGGACACCTGGGTGTACCGCTTCTTCGGGGCATACGACAACGTGGTCGGAGTCCCCGGCACGGCGCCAACTCATGGCACCGAAGTTCCGTTTTTCCACGGCGGCAACGAATGCTTCGCCTCGCTGGCCGGCGTTACGGAGGCGCAACAAGCCCTGGCCGACTCCATACATGACCGCTTTGTCTCCTGGATCAAGGACCCGGCTGCAGGGCCTGGATGGGCGAAATATTCGCCAGAGTCTGGGGCTCTGACCAAGTTGGGGGTTCCCGGAGACGAGCTGTCTGCGGTTCTGGGGTCGACCGGGGAATACAATTCTCGCTGCCAGTCGGTAAGTACATGTACCTAGCCTCCTACTGGACGCTTTTGAAAGTACGGTTATGTTGCTAACAAGACCCGACTTCTCAGGTATATAAGCCTGCATTTCCCAAGTACCCAGTTGTTCAATCTGTGGCGGGAATACTGTAAGACCAGTCCCGGCATGTAACATCATGTAGATTCAGGAACCAGACCTCATCGCATGGGATTATGTTACAAACTACACTTGACAATAGAATAATTACTTATGCATGGCCCTCATAGCCACATCCATATAATCAGAACTATAATGGCCCATTCCTTGCTTCAAAAGCCCGAGGTTCTTTAGACAGGTGTTTATACTATCGTGCTTTGTATCACATTGAAATGGCAAGCATGCTTGCTTGAAAACTGCGGAGCCCCGTAACAAGGCACAAACAGAGCTTATACATCCTTCTTAGTCAAAGTTTGGCAAGCTCTTGACTTCATACACTTAGTTGTTTTCACCACCTCCACGCTGCACTTCTGGGAGCTCCCTGGATTCTCGAATGCCCAATATTTAGTTATTTCTGGACTGTTTACAGCTTCGCTTCTCGGAGCGTAGTTTCCAACAACTATACGCCACCCGACGTTGGTCAGGGCGCTTTTTTCTGTGAGCGACGACCTCCCATACAAGGAGAACACCCGAGGTATCAGCCGGTCGACTAATGTGCCTGAAAGGTCTTTCTTCGTGGCATAGTATTCTTTCGGGCGTATGGCACAGGAAAGAGAAATATTCTTATTCCCACTGCCTGCTCGGGCGTACATGTTCCGGTACTTGTCATCGCGGGCAGCCTTGTTTTTGAACTCACCACAGTAGGCACATCCGGCGCCGGGGGTGCTGGAGGAGGCGAGTGAGCTGGTTGTGGTGGTAGTCGTTGCCGGGGTCGGCTTCTGGGTAGTCTTTGGCTTGTCTGTCGGTTTAACCGTTGGCTTGGCCTTCCCCTTCCGGGTGGCCCTGTGCTTATCTCCCCTTGGTTCAACCGTTGAATTGGTCTCTGGTTTCGGATCGGGAGCGGGGTCCAGCTTGCGGCATCCAGACTTCTTCTTGCAGCCGACAGTCTTGCCGCGCGACATGGAGTCCGGAGCCATGACAAGAGGTTCGAAGACCATCGACAGATCAAAGTCGAAGTCTGGAACACCACAGGTAGGGCCGATCCAGTTGCCGAAGAAGGATGCCGCCTCTTCACCGTTCTCGTAGAAGGACTTGGCGCCCTGGACGGCAGCCTTGATGGCCGACGGAGCCTGCCCTCCAGGGACGAACATGAGACCAACATCGGCGATAGTCTTGAAGGCGGAGAGCATGACAGCGCAGATGACGTTGTCCAGCTGTTCGAGGTCCTCAATGCTGATACTAGCCACCTCTTCACACAAGTCGCACTCGCACATATACTGTCCCGGTATGAATTCGTTACAGTCCTCATCCTTAGAAATCGTACTCGGGTCTAGGTCTTGAACCTCGGGCTGGTTGGGGAAAGCCTTGCACTAGATAGAACACACATGTTAGCTCACTAAGTACATTTCCTTAGATCTCGTTCAGAGAGCTCTGAGCAAATATTGATGATGCATCTACTTACGCCTTCGACTCCAGACTTTGACTTCTTAACCTTCTGGCAGGAGCCATCTGGTCCGGCGCAGGGAGAAGCAGCTTTGTTTAAGTTGCCAGCGCCGAGGTAATTGAAGCAAAGATCTTGTGTTTTCCAGGAGGCGATAGCCTGATCGTCTTTGCTACCCTCTTTTTGGGGACATTTTGGTCCTCGAGAAGCCAGGGCTAAGTCTGAGGCCAAGGCGACGCTGCTGCAAAGCAGCGCTAAAACGGATGAGAGCTTCATTGCTCAACGCCTGATGAGGCACGCAGTAAGATATCTGACAAATATAGCAGGAAGATGATGGCAATGGGAGATAGAATGAGTTGAAGTGTGGAATGATGAGATAAAGCCGACTACGTCTTGTGAAAATCTTATCACTTTATATCATATACAGACGCCGATGATTTTGGTCTTCCACTCTAATCAGCGGTATTTTCTGCACTAAACGATGTCTTAATTAGGGACCCCAAGACTAGCAAAAAGCAGAACTAGTCACATGGGGTCTGAACAAGACTGAGCCTATTTTATCGTGAGGATTGTTGCTCTCCGGATGGCTCAGTATGGCTCAGTATGGCTCCTACCCCCCAAACCCCCAGGTCGGTGAGAGATCGTCTCAGAGGCTTAGCCTAAGCATGGCTTTGGTATGGTCAAATTCTGGGCTTTCCAAGCCAATATCCCACTCCCATACGTGTAGTGTGGATCTTGGTGTGCCGCGTCTTGTCGCCAGAAGACTTCCGTTTAGCCCCCTCCTGTTTCAGCATTGCCAACCAACTTCATTGCCTATTCTTTGTGACTGTGAACGGAAACCAACAAGTTAGGTTGAACCAACATGAGCGACAGAACAACAGGATCAAGGACTCCATTGAATTATCCACTCTGTCTAAACATATCACATTGCAGAGACTCCGATGTGCCCGAAAGAATATTGTCGGAGGGCTGGTCATCTATACTGATATGACTTGCCTATTTTGGAAATGGGTTCGAATCCTAGGACCTGGGGCTAGATATGTGACATTAGCAGTAATTCCGGAAGAGGGCATGTAGAAGTAATACTTGAGTCGGCGACAACTACTAATCACTATTGAAAGTGACAGACTAAACTAAATTGCATGGCCTAGCCTGGCAAGAGCCAATAGAACGTTTCTATTACTTTACAGAAGTATCTAAGTTAGGACCGTGTTAAATCCGAATAAAAAGCCAAACGCCATATTCGTTGCTTTACTTGGGGGCAAAACCCCCAACTCGGGCTGCATGGGATTTTGAGTTGACAGTGCCGCTTTTGGTCGTCTCCGGCTTGGGGTCTTTCTATCGACTATGCAGACTTGTGGAGTAGAACACTGGATCACAAGTTCCCCCTCCCTGACATGTCCTATATTGCCCCTGCTCGGTGGATATCGTCATCCAACTTTGCGTTTTCCCAGAGAGGCGGCACCAAAGGCGTAGCATATTGTTGGCACAGCGGCGGTGACGGCCCCTTGCGATGCCCCCAAATATGGTACGAGCATATTGGGGTCGAACCAAATGGGATTTTCCGTCAAAGTGTAAATAGATCATCCCCCTGTGGCCCGTCAGAAAGAAGCATTGGACACATCGGGTTGGGCTAAAGAGCGAATAACCGCACCAAATCTATCCTTCATTGTCCTATCCTCCGCTACCGACGCACCTGCTACTAGGTCTATCCTCGAGACTGATCCAAATATGCGTTACTCTATTACCAACCAGGCTTTGATCGCCTTTCTTGGGCTTGTCACCATCTTCAGTGGGACTGACAGCTACCCTATCTGCTCAAAGAAATATCAGAGTGTGAGCAGCCTCGAATCAGCTACTCAAAAAGCCGCTGACGAAATTTATTCAAGTCTTCTCGCCCATACATCGCTTGTCGTGTTTCTAGCCTCATCAGCCGAGGTCCTGGCAGTATTGGGAAACATTCCAGAACACCTAAGAGTCCTGCCCTCAACCACAGATTTCCTGGTACAGGAGAAGAGAGGACCTTTTTACAATCTACATACAATCTTACTGTGAGTCATTAATCCGGGAGCAACAAACATGAAAAGCAGCTAAGGGTGCTGACTATGCCCTCGCGTACAGGAAAGCAACAAACTTCTCTCGGGGAAGTTCTAATAGATAGTCGCGGATGGAGCGTTCGTTCATATGATGAATCTATTCCCCGAAAGACTCCAATCCAGCTGAAAAGGTTACCCAACTACTTTCTCTGACAAATTGAGTAGACAAGATGGATATTGAACCATATCCAATGCAAAGACTTGGACGCTGACGACAAGGACCTAAAGGGATAACTAGACAAGTTGCGGATGCACATATTCAAGTTCTCAAAAGAGCGGGTGTAATTAAGTTTACAAAATATGAAGAAGCTTAGTTATTAGAACGTTCAACGTTGGTCTGTTTTCCTATAAGCTTGTTTCGAGGCTCTTTTTCATGCTCTTTGTTGGGTTCATAGTCTGTCATACTGACAGGTTGGCTTTTCTATGGTGTAGACGGTTTCAGCTTAGGTTTGTTTCAACCATTGTTGTCAACCGCTCCTATATAGTCAATGGCATCTCCACTCCGCGGCTGTTCTCATGGAACGTGTTAAGAGGCGCCAAAGAATCAAGTGTGCGGAGACCTTTGACGTTGATAGCTTTGGCAACTCGGGGTCTCCAATGCCTGCTCTTGGAACGCGCCTCCATGACATGTTCATGAACAAAAGCATGCATTACAGTGGCGTTCGCAATGTTTAATATATGCGTAAATTGTCCATAAAGAACAAAAAGACGTCAAAAGTCACTGAAATTTATACTAGAAACGTATAGGGTGCGTGGGATAGCATGGGGGCGGGGTTGGGTAAATTAACACACTTATTGATTGTCTTGTGGTGGATGTGGAGTGAGAAAACACTTGAGGCGTGCCATCTTTTTTGACACTAGTAGTAGGGTGACATCGACTGACTCAGTTGGTATGTAGACTCCCTGCCAACATCTGTCTCAACATTAGACAATGGACTTGAAGAATTCTGCCGATCTACAAGGGAGGTGGAGCGTTGGTCACGAGGCCCTGTAATTCACGCTCAGACAGGCACTCGGGTGACAAAAAACAGGATACCTTTTTCCAACACCACCAAAACACCACAACTTCCAGCAATTCAATACCCCGTCCAAAGTGGGCAAAAGGCTCTTTTTTTTCTGCCGTTGGTATTTTTGACCTCGAGAAACTAGTGAGCGACTCGTAATTGTGCCTTTTTAGGTTTATCAAGAGCTGGGTGGCCTATCGCGACGGTGGTGGTAGTAGTGGTAGGTAGGTAAAAGGTATCCTGTTTTTTGTCACCCGAGTGGACAGGAAAGTCTGTGGATTGTCAGCATTGGGTAACAACGTTAGTGTCAAATAAAATTGGATTGCAAACCTCAAGAGGCCGGGGATACCAGTCTTCAAATCCCGTGTGTGCGGAGACTCGGAGTCATCTGGCCACAGTTGCCCAACTATCGGCTAACATTGCTGGACTGATAAGACGCACGACGGACACGGTAATGCCCGGAAATATGGTAGTCTTGCTCAGCAGAGCGAACACTCCTTAGTCACAGGCAGTGTCAGGCTCTCCAATCATGAACCTGAGAGAGAGGGTACTATCCCTTTAATTGCCAGGTGACTCCATTTCTGCCAAGGGCGGGGTAGAGCCAATGCATTCGCAGCATTAAGTCCGACAAGCCAATAGTTTCAAGGTACTTCTATCTATATGGCGTTTTGCCTATGCCAAAGGTACCAGCAATCTCTGCCTTTACAAAGGAGTACATTACAATCTAAGCAGCTCTACTAGAGGCTTATTAGGCTAGACTGTTACGTTATTACGCTCCTCTAGGCAATAGTTATCTAGGCAGGTAATAGCAAGGTCCTCTAGTAAGACCCCTATATAAATATTAGTATAAATAGAGGTATCTAGATTAGAGGTTATAATAGTTTTGATAGAGATGTTGATGATAATGTTAAATTCAGTAGTGCTTGTCAACAAACTAGGTAGGTAACATTCTAAAGCAATATATTGTTATGTATCTCTAAAAATGAGGGGTAAAAGTGGAGGGGGATCCACCTCGGCAGAAATGGGGTCACCCGGCAATTAAAGGAATACCCGTCGAAGAAGAAAAACGTTGGTGGCATCATGGGGCTACTATTGATATGCGTGCTTGTATTGGAGCTGCAACTAGGAACAGCATTCAGCGCATTACCAACCAAGTATGAAAGCTTCATACTAGGAGCTAAAGACGGACACAGCTAGAACGTCTACTAGTCATTCGGCTGATAAGTAGGTTCTGTCTCACTCTCCAGAGATGTCCTCCCTCATTTTTCTCTCCATGACACTCCATTCCCCTTTCACCTTATGGCCAGAAAGCCAAATGTTTTCGTGCTCATCCTTGCCCACAATGATGATCCCATCAGTGAAGTCGTAAGGCCCCTGGATAGTTTGCACGTAGCAAGGGAACAACGGCGTCTCCCGCGGCTGGACAGCAGCACCTGATAGATCGAAACCGTAAACGTTGGCCTTTTGCCAGTTTGAAAACATCAACAACTGCATCGAACTGCGACCAAAGAAAGGCGGTGCCTTAGCTCTGGGATCTTGTCTGACGAGTGAGCTGTAGGCTTCGACCTGCTCGCGGGTTCCTTGCTCTGTGATTGAGCGGCGGATTGCTGAGGCCAAGTGACCAAGTGGCTTCTTCAAGACGTCGCTGACGGGCATAAGGGTAACGAGGAAGCCAACGCAGTTGCAGAGAAACGGCTTTTCAGACGGCAAGAGATCCTTGAGGACAGACCGCCACTGGTACGCCTGCTGCACAGCGACCTTGGAGGGCAAGTTGTATGAGAAGAAACCCTCAAAAGTATCGGGTTAAAGGAAACACTTACTAATCTCTTAGAGTCTTCTGGAAAGTTTGACAAAGACAGGCGAGTGATCCACGCAAGGAGAACGTCGCCGTCACTTCAAAATGGCTCTTCTACTCGTACCCTGGAAGGCGTCCCATCGTCGGGCTCTTCTAAACCATTCTCTTTTAAAGCCTTTTCTTTTAGTTTCGCCAAGAACTCGGCTGGTACACAAACCATTCGATGTTCCTTACTGCGCAGTACAAGGCGGTAAACATTCCGTAGCACCCACAACGCAACGCCAAACACAGACATTCGCCGATCGACAAGCAGATGAGGCGTAACTTCGGTTTTTCCAAGGTCCTCTAGTGGGTAGCTATTAGGGAGGAGAGGCTCTGGTATCTTGCAGTGTTCGCCCTTTAGAGCAAGGGACCAAGCTTCTAGGAGTGACCTTTTCGCCATGGCGTCAAATGCCAGGTGTATCCAGTGCAACACGATGACTGTAGAGTCCTTGAATGAGACGATGCAAAGACCTAGCTCGGATCGAACTGAGTAGAGATAGTCATGGAGCCCTCTTGGGGTATTGGGACTGTAAATGAATTCAAGCAAATCGTCAGGGTTTCCTACAACCGCAGGTTTACCATCAGATGGCGGACGGGGAATTCGCGCCCCAGCTGGGTGGTAAGCTATGTCTATGTTGCTATAGTCAACATGATTGTAACTAATAAGTGTCTGGCTGTGCGAAAGTTTTTGAGGTATGTGGTGTTCAAGCTCTCCCCGGTCCTAAATGCACCCGCGTCAGGCAGTGAAGTGGTCCTTGATAGTATCCAGGGGGCCAGGGGTATTGCTTACATTCCTTCGTAGCCTAGCTGCTAGCTTGTTCCAGCCGGGGCGGCGTACTACGTTCTCAAGAGAATCACGGAGCTTTTGTGTCTCAAGTACTTCGGGAAATACAAAAACCGTGTACATGACGAATGCTTTGAAGAGAAAAGTGTCGTCGAAATAACCGACCGGGACGACGCAATCGTTTGGATCGCGCGGTGGCGTCGGCGGCGTTATGGAGAAGAACTTCATCATCATGCGGTTGCACAAGAACAACCAAGCGGTGAGAGAAGACAAGGAAGTACATAGTAGTAAAGCTGTACAGAAGGGATAACGCTTGCTTTTCCTTTTCCTTTAATATGTTTTTCTCCCCTAATGTGACTACGGGGCAAAACCCGGGTTTCCGGATACAACAACATGACAAGGGGCGGCACGCGGGTTCCCTCACAAGCCTGGCCGGTTTTACCGTCACCAAGAGAAAAATGCGAAAGCAGACGTTTTTATTGGAACCCGTGTGGGTGCCACCTGTCAAAACCCCAGCAACCCCTTAACTAGGCTATGAGAATTCTCCACCCGAGTGACAGGGCTTTGAATTCATTCGCAAGTACGGATATCAAGCACGCCCATACTGTGTAGTTGTGACCCACGTACGAGAGACTCTCGCGGGCCAGAATTATGATAGATGTGCACACGAACCTCATAGTACCGTCGCTGGGATAATGAAGAAAAGCACGGCCACATTTACCTGACGAGGCTTAAACTTTGGCCCGAAACCTCGGTAGGTCGTCGGAGTTGCAGACTCTCATCCGGGTCTGGTCTGCCACGGAGTACAACTTCAGGAGACGAAGTCCGAGCTGGCAGGGTGCCCTTTTTGCCGTCACATTGCTAATCAATCGGGCCAGCCAAAATCTTATCCGAGATTAGCAACGACATTGGTGCACTCGGCAGATAGGCCCCACGACAGACCTGGCGTCGCAGTTAACCGACCGCCGGCATTGCAGGGCCTGCCCGTCTTGGATGTATACTTTGAGCTGTTCTCCCTTCTATCGATCCTTCGAACCATTTCGTGTCATTTGTTGCAGCCTCCATAACGACGTCGGCCCGCAGCCGAAAATGAAACTGCTCGTTTCTCGGAGCCAAGAGGGCGAGCGCATGTCAGAGGTCGCCCGCGGGCTCCCACAGCTTCCGGCCAGCGGCCTCTCGACGACGATTCAGGTCGTAACAGGCGTTCTGGTGGTCTTTTCCACCCTCGTGGTCGGTCTTCGCGTCTACGTGAGGTTCAGGCTGTCGGAATCGAAAAAGATATGGGGCTGGGACGACGTTTTTGCCGTTCTTGGGTGGGTATGTTGCCGTTGCCATGCCCCTCGCCTATTGCGTCTTTGTCTGACCAGAGCAGGTTTTTTTCTTGCCATCAGTTGCCTTTATCCTCATCGCGACGTGTTATGGGCTTGGCGCACACGATGCCCAAATCCCCGAAGGACAGCTTGTCTACTACCAAATCAAGGTTAAGGAAGACATGTTTTGGTGCGAAGTCGTATACTTCACCTCGACTGTCATGACCAAGCTCTCCATGTCCATTATGATTGTGCGGTTGAGCACTACCAGAATATATGCGTACATTATCTGGGGGAGTATGGCTTTGCTAGCTGTTAACTTGATTGTCTGTATGGCTATCTGGTTAGGGAGCTGTTCTCCTGTACCAGCTCTATGGAATGAGAACCTGTATGTCTCCTCGCGCCTATGTATGCTTACTGAAAGTCTAACTAACAGTGATACAGTGGCTACTGCCGTCTTCGTAACGGATGGATACTTGCTGCTTACATTGGCACTGTCGTCCTGGCTATTGTGGACTGGACATGCGCAATAACGCCATTCTTCCTCATCCGGGGCCTACAAATGCCAAAACGTCGTAAGATTTCGTTACAAATCATACTCAGCTTGGGCATCATTGGCAGTATTGCCGGCCTAGTCCGCTTAGGATACTACTATTCATACGATACCAAAACATATCCGAACGAGTCTCTTTGTAAGTAGTGCATTCGCCGTTATCTGTTCTCAGCCTGTATGCTTATATCAAGCACATAGATAATTGGGGACAGTCAGTCTTATGGTCGGTCCTGGAGGGCGGCTTAGGAGTAATGACCTGCTCTATGCCACCACTTCGCAAACTCGCTAGCACCTACTTCCGTGGATCCACTAGCGAAAATAGCAAAAAGTCATCGGGGAACACTGCCGTGGTGAGTAACTGAAAACACCTGGATAGCTCATGTTCAGAATCAACATTGTGCTGACTAGATCGGTTGCCTCTTCTCAGGACAACACTGAACTTCGAACGGTTAGACTGTCGTGTAACGGAGGAAAGTGGAACCAACTGCCTAGTCACCCCTAATAACATACCATTCCGCCAGTCCGGGCAACTTGAAATACGCCATGCCAAACAAGAGGCTTATTATTCCTTGCAATAGAGAAAACTGTTGTTTTATCCGGGTGGTGTACCGACAATGACAGTTCATACGGGGATAGATATCTGTGACGGCCTCGTTGCAAACATCCCGCACCTCCGCTTTTGATGTGTTTGCAAGGGGGGCCCATGACCCAAACAAGTTCGGGATAGAGCCTTTGTAGGCCGTTCAAGAGGTTGGTCGTCACTATTTCTGGCTCAATAGATTAACGAAAAACGCGTACGACCAAAACGGGACGGGAAGGCCTTACCCGACCCCAAACCCTGCATGTCCGATGAGAGATTGACAGCTCTCCGGTACGTTCAACGATGACAGCTGGCCGCACGGCTTCCACGCGATGGCTATTCTGGTAGCTTGTATGCATTACTCGGAGACGACTCCATTGCAGGATCCGTTGGTATCTTGCTTCAGCTTCCCCGGTTTCTCCACTGTCTAGCTATTGCAGAACCAGGCGAATGAGCACATCTCGTGACGATTGTACACGCTGGTCGTCATGCTCGATTCCCCCAACACGTTTCCGGGCCTCCAAGAGTGATCGGGACGGGTTCGCAACCGACTGCGGATAGCCACGTGCAACCTCTACCGAGACGTTGGTTGCGACGGCTATGTTTCACTGTGCTTCATCCGATTCCGGCATACCAACTGGGGTTCGGGTAAGGAGTAATCAGGGGAGCTTCTGAGATAATGCCATAGTGTTTAACTCTAAATAACGCAAAAACACATTTTAGAGACTTATTGTTACTCCATCTCGGCTAGAGTTGTTCGAGGGGAACCACTGCTCTAAGCTATGCCGTTTGTGACATCCTGATCACTCGCAGCCGGGTTTTCTACATGGCTATACATCGTCTCGTATATATATTATTTCAGGCTAATAACACCCACCGTCTTGAATGCTTGTTGAACTAGCGTGCAAGCCACCCTTGAGACCGGAGGAGTAGAACCAAACGATGCTGAAGTACTTTACGTTTATTGGATATCATCATGTCATGCCACAGCTGCAGTCTTCTAGTAATGAACAGAAGACATAGCATCAAAAGAAAAGAAAGGAAAAGCCAAACAACCACCAGCCGCTGAACAACCATTCCTCAAGTTTACAAATTACACATCACTCAGTGATGTCCCAATCTCGGCCCAGAGACACCCACGGGACTAACGAGACTGATCCGGTGCAAAACGCTGCCTGCCTTCCTCCGCAGCCTGCTCTCCCTCATGGGCGTTGGGACAATGTCCTCGCGCAACGGACTCACCACGTCCCCGCCCTCTTCCTTCCTCTCCGCGCTCGCTCGTCGAACCTCGGTTTCCTCCTCTGTACGGCTACTCCCCGTCGTCATGCTCTCCATGCTCCTCCCGTCATGCTCGACGGCAAGACTCGGTCTCGCTCTCCAGCGCTCCTCCGACCCCATGGGTGACGTAGGGTTCGCCGAGTGGAAGTCGCCCGAGCCAGCGCCTTCTGCGATTGGGTGCATCGACGGGGCCGGCTGCTGTATATTGAGGCCCTTGAGCGCCTCCACGGAGATCGACGAGCTGGCGCTGGCGCTGCTCAGATTACGCTCGTGAGACGCCTTCTCTCCGGCGACCGTCGTGCTCAGCCTCTTCAGCCCACGACCCCACGAAGGGTGTGACTTGGGCGAGAGCACCTCGATGAATGTCCTCCTCTTGGCGTCGCGCATCTTGCGGGCCACGAGCTCACATTGTTCCGCCATCGTCGGGTGCGCCATGATCTCCTCCATCGAGACGGTCAGGCTGTGGGACCCGGGGATGCCCAGCTTGGGAAGCTGCTGTGTCAGCGCTTCGGCGAGCAGCGAGGCGGAGATCATGCTGCCCCAGAGGTCGTAGAACGCCGCATTGTGAAGCTGCGCCTTGGGGACGCCGAGGGAACGCGGGTTCAGGACCTTTGTCCAGACTCTGGAGATGGCTTCCTGGATGGCGGTCCGGTGGCTTTCGGACAAGGTGGCGGCGACGGCCGTGGGTTTTGCTTCCATTTGTAGCTGGGGCAACGGTATCTGAGCCGCGACGTCGCAGTAGTCGACGGACGAGGGTATCAACGGATGGAGCATGGACACCGATGTGAGAAGCTCAATATTGGAGCAGAGAGCTTTGAGTGTCTCGTTGGCGAATAGACCAGGCATGCGGTTCTCGCAGAACGTCAGAGATATCTCGCCGCTGCTAGAGTCTTGCTGGGTGGAGATGACGTGAAGGTCGTAGACGTCTCTGCTAATCGGCTGTTGGATGTTGAACTTGCACTTGATGGTGCCGATATTGAAAACTGCTGCTTCCTTGGCGGCATCCTGGTGACGGTGTTCAACAACCGTGCTGAAGCGCGTCCAGTATGGGAGCTTGGTACATTTCTCGACAATCTCAAGCCAGCCCATGTTCTCGAAGGGAATGCTCGAGATACGCTGGCTGTGGACGTACTTGAGCAGCTCAAGGGGGCTGCTCAACGTGTCCGCGAATTGGACGCGGACAGGAATGGCATTGGACACGGGCCCGAGGGTGCCTGAGATGTCCGAGCCGTCAGCCAGTCTCAGATGCCTTCCCTCAACGATCTCGCCAAAGAAAACATCGCCCGATCCGGAGAGTGTTGCGAGCGTCATGGCCCAAGCCGACTTGACGACGGTGTCGAAGGAGATGCCGATGTTGGCCAGGGACATTACCGAGACGGTTTTGGATATGGTCTTGACGTTCGTGCTCATTGCCGGCGGCTTGCTGTGGGCAATGACCTGGGTCATCTTTGCCCCATTCAGCAAGGAAGTCCAGTGTTCCTTTGCGCCGTTGTTGTGAGCAAGCTGCACCGAGCGAGCAAAGTCGAAGTAGGTCGCTCTCTTGGGAGGGCAAGATGGAGCGATGTAAATGCTCTTCAGGTGATGCAGCAGAAGAGAGATGGAAGCGCCGTCGTACTGGGCCCCGGATAGTCGTAGGACGAGATTAGACTGCTTGCCAGCGTCGATGAAGAAGAACTTTGTCATTGGGACCTCGAGATCGAAGGAGCCAGTCTGATCCCTCTTGATTATCTTTTCCGTCATCGTCGAGACCCTCCAGTTTGGGACCTCGACCCTCTTGAACTCGGGGGTGAAGGACTTCAGCGCGACTTGGTACACCTTTCTCCCATGGGTGACGAATGCGGTTCGCAGGATGGGGTGGATCCTTGCCAGGCACATGCAGACGGCTTCGAGCTTCTTGGTTTGGACCGGCCCGGTGAAGCTGAACGTAAAGTACGTGAGGCTCGAGCTTCCCTTCAGCAAGCCGGCTTCGAGAAACTTTAGCTGAGACGCCGCGGCTTCCGCAACATCGTCGATGGCTTCGGGCTCGACCTTCAATTTTGGAGCAATGACATCCTGTATGAACTGCTCGTCAAGAAGCGATTCCGTTGAAGATCTCACGGATGAAGCTGACGGCTCAGGCTCCACGGCCGCCTCGAGCGCGTGATCTGAGCTCATTGTGATGCTTTGGCAGAGCTCGGTCAGGGTGGCGCCGCGCAGGACGTCAAGTAGGGAAATGATGAGTCCTTGCTTCCGACACGCAACAACGAGCTGACCGGCAAGGAAACCCTGGCCGCCAAGCATCGAGAAACTCTGGTTGCCGCGGATGCTTGAAGGGTGGGTTCCCAGAAGGGACGCCCAGATCGATTGCATTCGCTCCTCGACCTTGGTCAGGGGAAGGGGCTTGATTCCGACTGAGCGGACTTCTTCGGGCGATGCAACCGTGGAGAGGGCCTGCAGCTGCTCATGCGACAACCACCCGACCATCTTTTGGAGCTTGCGACGGTTGACCTTGAGAGAGGGTGTGACGGGGAGATGCTTTACGGGAACGAAGATGGTCGGCATCATGTGTGACGGCATGCCAGTGCCCAAGGATGATTCGATGAGCTTCTTGGCGATGTACGTGCGCTCCCGGGTGGTGATTGTGATCCTAGTGAGGTCTTCGGAGCCCTCGAAGAGGTTTTCGCCGAGCTCCACAAACGCTGCAAGGGAGGGCTGCGCATCGCGGCTGATGATGGATTCAATGGCGAGGTCGAGGCCTTGGCCCAGACACCGTCGGAGTCTCTGTTCGATCTCGGTCACCGGGACGACTCGCCCGTTGCTCTCGACAGCGTCACGGCCGCTGGACACGAAGTCAAGCAAGCCGTCCTCCATGTACCGAACAAGATGGCCTGTCTTGAAGTAGCGTGTTGTGGGCTTGCCATCCTCGAGTGAAAAGTCCGAGTCTTGAGGCAGATGTGACAGTGACTGGCCGGGAACGAAGTGGTGCGCAAGGGTTGGGCTTTCGATAATGAGCTCGCCAAGGGCGCCAATCGGCATCAGCTTGCCGTGGTCTTCGGGGTTGACGATCCAAAATCTTCCGAGAAACGGAGGCGCGACGCGCGAGAGATCCGAAGGCTTCGTGACCTCCAGAACAGAGACTCCGAGAGGACAGGTGTCGGGAGCACCGTAAGCCAGAAGGACCTTCGTCTTCGCCATCCAAGGGGCACAGGTATCCTCGTCCAAGCGACGCGTCCTGAAGCAGACAGTCTTTAGGCTCGGGATGGCGGCTGGCGTCATCTTCCGCGCCAACACAGGCGTCATATAGGTCCAGTTGACATCCATCCTGCAAGCAGCGCCGACGATGTCGCTCGTCGTCTCAACGGATGATGGGATGCATACACATCCGCCGTGGACCAGGGTCGAAAGTAACTCGACCAGGGCAGTGTCGACATTGAGGGAAGACAGTTGCATGACGCGGCTGTCCCTGTTGAGGTTCAGAGCCCGGCCTTGCGTGAGGAATGCCGAAGACAGAGCTGCGTGGTGGAAAATGATACCCTTTGCATCTTTCCCACGCGACGAACGAGGCGATAGAAGCATGCAGGCGGCGTCGTCGGGTGCTGCCATGGGCAAAGGCGCCTGCGGGGGGAAGTTTACCTCAAAGAGAGAGTCGTCAACCACGATCACTC